GAGACACCAAAGGCTCAGTTGTTAAACCACATTCAGTACTACACTTTTTATTCTCACAACTTTTCAAGACTGTATTTTGCACGACGTTAGGCGCTTCCATTTCTATGCAAATTTTTTCAAATTGAAGTCACTTTTGGAATGCTTTTTTTTTACTTTTTGGCGAGTGAGATAATATCGTTTCCTCCCAGCTCAGACATTTTCCCGGGAGCGCCGCAGGTGCTTGCCCGACCACCATTCATCCCTGCCGCGAGCTGCCCGGTAAACCCATATTGAACCGAGTAACCGTCAGCGCATCCTGTAAATGCCCGTTAAGCGGGGTGGCGGTCAAGAATAGCGATAGCTCTGCCAGCCGCTCGCGCGCAAAGAGCCAACCCTCCCTTTTTCGAAAATTAACCGAGCAAAATAGCAGAAGCCTAACATAAAGCATAAGTACAGAAGAATAACGCTATGGGCAACTGTTGCAGAACGTAGTGCTTGGTGAACTCGTCCGCTGCCGAGGCGGTGTTACCTGTTTACCGCTACTAATACCCGGGCACTCAGGGCGCCATTATTGCCAGCTATCGTTATTCTTGACATACACTCCGTTAAGCGCCTATAATCGACCCTGTTAGCATACTTGTAGGGGCTGGGAGGAGTTGGTGAACCTTCAGCCTATCTTTCACGATGACGATATTTCTCCCAAAAACTGCTATCCTCAATATAAATCGATCTGTAACTCAATCGAAATTGCGCGTGAACTAGTCGTAAGATGTGAGGTTACTCAAACAATCATGCCTGAGGTGTTCTAGATTGATTTCGCACTTCAAAGTTGGATATCTCCAGGAGTCACTCGATCATTCATAGGTAAATCAGAAATCTCTCGAATTTCACGACCAACACATCAGCTATTCATTGACTGCCAAAAAAGAAACAAAAAATCAAAACAAGATTTTGTAATTAGTCAAGCTTCACTGCTTGCAACAAGCTTGTTTTTCTCGACGGTATCGTCCGAGAAACTCGTCCGCCGCAGTAGGGCGGAGCTTCGAGCTAACACATTATTGCCAGTTCATGACCCCGCGCGCCACTGGTGCCAGCTATCGTTCATCTTGACATATACCCCGACTTGAGTGCAATTCGAGGAAGTTGTTTGCTCATCTGCCAACATCATCTATTGTCCTCGATAGCACTTGTCCGACATTTGAAGTCTAATTTATAGACCTAGAAACTCATCTCTTTCAGATAGGATCCAATCCGAGAAGCGATACCTAGCTTCCTAAACACTTAGGGTAGCCCCATCATTGCGGCGTACCTCACGCGGGTTGCACTTTCTCGTACAACCTGTAGGAAGTGCGGCCTTTGATAAGGCCCGCGGCCCGCCAAGTAATTTGGTTGGGCCACGATGTTCCCAATAATTTTTTTCCAAGTTCATCTTTTGCCGCGGCGTTTCCGGTAAAATATACATGGGCCGTGGCGTGCGAGGCTGAAATTGCCGGCCGCGGATCGTCAGGCGATGATTTTGAGGGCCGCGGCGCTTTATACGCGCTTTTGAGGCCGCGAACTTTTCGATGCAATGTCTGATAACTAAAGCATGGACGAGGAGATGCTCACACGCGTGGCGGTTTTTAGTAGCAAAAGATTTCACAAAGCTATGCTCAAAATAGAGACTCAGTTATTAGCAGGGCTGGCCAAAGGTGGCTTATAAGCAAGCTGGATATCGTTTTGTGGGTCCGAAATTAGGCTTTTCTAGTCTACGTTTCGAATTTTTTAGTCTATTCGGATATCTTATATATAAAGCTGAATGTCTGTTTGTCTGTCTGTCTGTATGTCTGTCTGTCTGTCTGTATGTGTGTACGTATGTTCCGAATAGAAAATTCCATTTCTGAACCGATCGGGACCAAACTTGGCACACATACACTTCGGGCCCCGGAGGGTGTCATAGGCTACTTTTCGTATCGATCGATATCGATTTTATCGATTTTTTGCAAAATTTGAGCTACGGGGCTGGGATTTGGCACAGGGGGGTAATCGAGCATGCTGATCACCCCCACGGGGGTGATAAGCATGCTCGATTACACCCCTCTGCCAAATTCCAGCCCCTAGCTCAAATTTTGCAAAAAAATCGATAAAATCGATAAAAGTAATGCACGGTTTCGAAAACTAATATTGTATTCGTAATCAGCATGCTCGATTACACCCCTCTGCCAACTCCCAGCCCCGTAGCTCAAATTTTGCAAAAAATCGATAAAATCGACATCGATCGATAACGAAAAGTGGACTGTGACACCCGCCGGGGCCCGAAGGGTATGTGTGCCAAGTTTGGTCCGGATCGGTTAAGAAATGGAATTTTCTATTCGGAACATACGGCGGAGCCGGGTAAGCCAGCTAGTTCCAAATAAGGGTCAAAAACGACTTCGTAAAATTTTTGGAAAGTCAAGGAGACTTCCTTTTTGCATTTTCGGAAAGAGAGAATGATAAAGCAGATCCTAGCAAGTCATCCATCTCTGCTTCGAAAACCTACATAAAAAGGATTGAAACAAAACTTAAAACTGGTGTTCAGAACGAACATTTCAAATCTTGAATCAAATCTCCTAGTTCAAGGTAACGTGATTGATGTACTTTAGAGGAATACCGATACATGTAGCATATCACAGAACGGATTTAAGATAGATGCGGGTTAGAAAGAGAAACATAATGTTGGAACCACCGAAAGGTGAAGAAGAGACAACGAACATCCACTAAAGGAGAAGAAAAACGCGCAAAAGGAGATTTTGATTCAATGTTACAGTCGCTTCATTTCATATGATCATGTGTGCCATTGCACACACAGTCCACTTTGGCGTCCTCATCCTGGATTTGCAATCGCAAAAACGCAAGAGACTTATCGATTGTTATCGATTACATCAATTTGAGGTGACTAGTAACTAAAAAGGAAAGAAAATGCTAAGAACACCTTGGAAAGACTTACCTGAAGGCTTGTTTCTCCAACAAATCCAGGATGGGGACGCCAAAGATGAACTGTGTGTGCAATGACACACATGATCATATGAAATGAAGCGACTATACATTCATTTTCTCAACGTCCTGAGCAGTTATATCTGTGGACGCGCTCGTTTCGACGCGAGGTGTCCCGCTATCTGATGATTTTGAATTGAGCTTACGTTCTTATATATTAAATTAGATAGATATCTGCATAGATGATACGTGTAACAGCATGCTTCATCAAGTCTGACAGAAACAATGATATCATCGGATTTTCCTATAATTCAAGCTTCATCCGGCAAGACGGGTTATTATTTGAAACTGTTTAAAGGCTCCGTCCATCCTAAGTTGAGGGTGTTGAGCTTTTAGCAGCATATACTAGAAGGGCCTCCTAACAATCCAGTGCCCAAGTCGCGGCGCAAAATGCCTCTTCGGAAGCGAGAAAATCGCTTCGGAATAGTGGAGATGCACGTGGACCCCCATCCATGTCCGCCCATTTGTGCGCGCACATCCAATCACCGTTCCGGAAAGCCAGTCTGTTTTCCAGAACGGGGTTGCCGGGGTTTTCGCGCATTCTAGACTTCATATTCGGAATCAGGGACATGAGAAGGCCCTGAAACGACAAAAACGTGGAAGTCGAAAATCTGGGTGGACGGTGCCTCTAAGAAAGTCTTTGATGAGGCGACGCGGTAATGTAGTTTGACTCAGAATACTACTGGTGATGTAGCTTCCCTGGTGCTCCTTCATAAGGTTCAACGAGTTCCTTTCAAGTTAGCTTTCCAGAGTGTCCAGGCGGAATGGCACGAATGGCTTTTACCTAAAATGTCTGTGGGACCCTAACCAAGGCTCCATCTGGCACTGCAAGTTCATCTACGGCTGCTGATTTCCGAACCTGACTCCCGTTGAGCGAAGGACTTGCATCGGCTCAAATGCATTTGCGGGGCGCATTACGAAGGCGGTCCATCGTTAAGGCAGTGGCTCGCGAACATGCGACTGCGAGCTTTCCACAACTACTTGCCCTTTTGAATCCGCTGAGTCCACGACTGTGCTTAAAAAGTCAAAAGAGTGCTTTTTATGGTGTTTCCCTGCTTTGGAGATTGCTGAGGAGCTGAAACAGGGCCTGGCACCAGCTGGCACGGGGCAAGCTGGATATCGTTTTTGTAAAAAGCAAAGGGGTTTCGTTTTTGTGTGCGAAGATATACGCAAAATTGGCGACGGCGACCTTTTTTTTTAGTCGACGTTGCGTTTTTGGGGGTTTTTTTTTTTAAATTTTAGAGGGGATATTGTTGAGGATCAAAGAGGACTTCGTAAAAATTCCCAAAAGTCAAGGGGGACTTCGTAAAAATTAGCAAATTTCAAGGGGGACTTCGTTTTGAAAATTCCCTGGTGCCAGCTCGTGCCGAACCCTGAGCTGAAATAGAGATTTCCGCCGAAAACAGTGACTGGTTGCGGGGCTGTGCTCCTAAGGATATGCTTCCCAATATACTTTTTCATTACTTTTTGGGCTTAATCCGATGGCTTGCACATGTATATGCCATAAAAACCCATGATCTTGCAAAAAAAATTGATTTCGCATCTATTTCTGAGAGCCAGAAACCAAGTGAACACGTCCGCCGTGCAATTTTCGTGGGATCCACGAATCGGATTCGCTCGCGCTTTTGCATAGTGAATTTAGATGATGGCCGCGTGTGCTGTGCGAAAAACGAAAAATGATGGCCCTTGAAACCTTAACTTCATCTCATTCTATGCATTTCGTTTCAGACAGACAGGCACACACAAAAAACGTAAGCACCCGTCCATTGTTGAGAGTTATGATAGTTAACTCCTTTTGAAGTGAGTAGTATCTATGAAAAAAAGTGGTGGAGACAGCAGAAAGGGTCCCCACTCTAGTTTCCATCTTCTTCGCATCTTGCCGTTTTTGCTTCTCTCATTGAGAACATTGGATATACCTGCGACATTGGTTGAAAGGCAAAGATGCCTGTCCGGAATCCGAAGCAGCATGATTCTTGCTCAAATTCAGTGTGCAGTTTTTATTGTCTCAGAAACGAAGGGATACAAGTGCGAATGCGGACGTACTTTCTTTTCCTACACAGAGATGTTATACCATAAGCATCCAGAAGATCTCAAAGAGGAGAAGGAAGCGAAGGTCAGTTTCTGGACGTGAGTAACATGAGTAGCATACATATTGTTCAGAACTTTAGGAGCTTTATGGAAGTGCAAAGCTTGTTCACCCATCAACTAGCCGTGTTGCGCTTCTCCAAGATATGCCTAATCCAGCATTTGTGGAAGAGGGTTATGAGCCGAAGCATCCAATGAAGGTAAAGTTAAAACCAGTTTGACAGTTCTGAGCACATCCTCGCAGGTCTATTCCGACGTCCGCTCAAAGCCGTATATATGTGAATATTGCTCAAAAAGTTATGCCGATAGTCGTCAACTCGCCTATCATATGTACAGTCACAGAGGTATTTTTGCGTAGAATTTCGGCAAGAAAGCGTGATGCATGCAATCGGTAACTTGCAGGCGAACGACAGTTTAATCCACGCTCCTCAAGATATCTAATGGGTCGCCAAGGAGTAGGATACACTGATCGTAGATCGTACGCTTTGTTTCCGTTAACTAGTGGTTATGTACCCCCTATGTATTGATTGTGCTTCATTGATTTCATAGTAAATAGCTGGACATGTTCAACCGTTCGAATTATTCACCATTTCTAAGCTAACTAATTGGAAGATTATTCGAAGGTATAGCCCCAAAGCAAACTTAGCCAGTTAAGAAAGATCGCCAAATGCATCTTTCAGGTAAGAAAAGGTTATGCCAGGCCGTGACAAAGAAAAATTAGCCAATTTTTGAAATTTTCAGCATATCACAGACAGATGGGATTACACATTCTTTCTCATCTCATATGCAGAAATACGGTGCACTCGTGGGGTCTACTTTTCTAATTTGTTCTGAAGTCAATCAGCTGTGGTTGGACGGGGGGGGGGGGGGGAGTTTGCTCTCATCAAATTGATAAAAGTAAAGGTATTAGTGAGTACTTCCATTTGGGGTCAAAAAATCTCTGTGGACCAAGTTCCAGCGGATTCTGACATTTCTTATTATGATACAAGGTAGATTATTTTCAAACTCACTCAACATTGACTAAAGGTTATGCACAGGGAACTACGGGGGTGATGCAGGAGGAAGCAAAGGCCTGCCGCATGTAGCCATAGGAGATAATTAAGAGCGCGAGCGCTATGGAGAATACTTTGGCAAGGGTCCAAGAAAACTTGGTAAAGATATCCCTTCGGAACATGTCTTCATAATTTGCCTGGAGATGGCCATGAAAATTTTCAAAAACAGATTTATAATGCAAATTGGCAGACGCATTCATTAGGCCTAAAAGTAAGTGAAAATTTGGTATTGCAATGGTAAGAAAAGTCAACTTTCTTGTACAAACTTTTTGTTTTATGAATTTTGAAAATACAGATTGTTGAAGACCGGGATCTTCATTCAAATTCATTTTTTTCTTCGAAATAAAGGATTGATTTGCCTTGTGATTCAATGAACCAAAGCAATCAAAATGTCATGAAGACACATCTGGAGGCTTATATCAAGATGCAATTGAAGTTTGTCTCATAACTTTAAACCTATTCTAATTTCAAATTTTGACACTAGAAATTTCAAAGGTTTGCTATTGAAATTATGTCGGTAATCCTTTTGAGGTTATACACATTAGAAAAAATTCATCAATTTATCACATGCAACAACTTAATTAACATTATTTCCTGTTTATCATTCCCTACTTTCACGTTCCAATCCAGAAATTTCCCCTAAAAATTCACTTAAAATCTTACACACAGCATTAAACCCGAAATTCTTCAGGAATTTTGAAGGCTCACTCTTTGGTAATAATAGGACTCGAGAAGTGAGACAGAGTAGTTTATCTATCAGTTAGGCGTTTTACTTAAAAAAATGCGCATTGAATACTGATTCCAAATGTGTACTTCGTATACTTGAAAGTTAATTCTGAGAAGAGTTATAAGAGTTTGTTTCTAATGGATGTCCTCTCCTAATTTTCCTGGATCCTTGCCAAAATCTCCTCCTCAGCGCTTGCGCTCCTACTTATCTCCTACGGCTACAGGCGCAGGCCTTTGGTTCCTCCTGCACCGCATCCAGGAACTACAGATGTTGTTATTAGAAAATCAAAATCAAAATTCCGTTTCGTTCCTACCCATAGACGGAGGTGAAGAATGTTTAGTAGCCTTCCCCGGAACTCTCAGTAAGGAAGGAGGGCTGACCGGATTATCTCGAAAAAAATCAAAACACCAACCTGTACGGAGTCCTCAGGGGTATGGACCCGAAAAAGTTTTGAGAAGCACCCCAAAGTTTTTGGGAGTGCGTGGCAAACCTCACGCACCTTCATCTGAATAAAATTCCTGCCGCTCCCCCCCCCCCCCCACTACCCCCGGGACGGAGATCCTGCGACCGCCTCTGGTATGTGTATATATGTAAGATTAAGCATGTTACCGTAACCAATCCTTCGCGGCACTTTCCATTTGCATAGGTAAGGAAAAACGACTCTATCTTTCTCTAGAAAAAACGACACTGAATAAAATTTCTGCTGTATAGAGAAGAATATTTAGCTGTAGCAACGATGTGAAAAACACAGATATTTGCTTGCCTTGAAGGTAAGTTAATGGGGGTGTGGTGCAACCCTTAAAAAAGCGTGGCAGCCACAGCTTTTCTGGGATTGTGCTACACCCCACTGACTTACCTCCATAGACAAATTTAGCGAGCAAAGCATTTATGGTTCAATAGCCAAAATCTCCTAGTTTTTGCAAAGTTGTTTGAAGCTGAATTCGTCTTCTTTCTCTTGCGCAATAGTTGTTGAAAGGACAATCACTGTAAGCGAAGATGGGATGAGATTTTGGCTGGCTCATAATTCCATAGTTTGATGATGATTTGCAGCAGGATTCGTAATATTTATAATCAAATAGGGAGTAGTGCTTTGCATTGAGTTTGAAAAGAGGCAGCTGATTCACTTAAGAAATCAGCGAACGATGTCTGGAAATGACCACTTCACTTGGGTGGCTCAATATTGGGAACTCCCAGAATTCACTAAAACTTGACCCAGAGGGGTTACTTGATATGGTAATTACTAATTATGTTACTTGATATGTTATTGATTATGCTTGGAAGAGCCTTAATATTATGTCTATGGGAGGCGAATGATAATGTGGGGAGGGGGGGGGGGGGAGAGAGGTATTGACATAGAACTGAGGGGGAAGAGGTCGTATCCGGTGGTTGTACTACTGTGTGTACTCGATCTGGAGCACAGTAATCGTGTTCTATACTCGTTTATCAACAACTTCATACGAGACCACCTGTTGCTTCAATGATAAAGGTTTTTTGAAAGCTTAAGAAGTAAAAGTCAGTGCTGATTAAGTTTTTTCAAAAATACAATTTCATCAAGTCATCAAGTTGGCATGTCAGCCCGTGATGATAAAGCCATGAAATTATTGGTAAATACGGTTTGTGAAAGCTTCTGTGCTTAAACGACGAATTACAAAAGCACCGTAGAATATTATAGCAGAGAATCTATGTTGGATTTTTGGATAGGAAGATACCTCAATGTTATTGAACCCAAGATAGCAGCGTGTTGAGTAGGTTCCAACAAAACCTTGTTATTGAAGCCACGAGTGGTTTCACAAATAATTGTTGAATACAAGTATAGGACACGAGTTTTTCTTATGGCGCACTGATGTGTAGAGATGAAGATAAAGATGAAGACTATTGTACTACTCAGCAGATCGAGTATAGGACGTCCGCGCAGGGCGCGGAGAGTGCGTAAGGTATGTATCGAGCGTCTCTCTCCTTTTCTCGTACACTCTCGCCGCCTGTTTTCTCTGCGCTTCTTCCAGTCTGAACTGCCTTCAATGCACGCAACAGCGTTGCTCTCCGTGCGCAGCGCGAACGGCCTATACTCCCATTTCAGGCAAATCGCAAAAGGGTATTTCCTACCGTACACTGACCGCACCCAAGAATTACGGCAGTGCGATATAAAGTGTCTCGATGAGCTGAACACAGTGTTTTTTTTAGGTTCAGAATCTAAGCATACGTAGAAGGTTATGGCGATAGTCCGTAATCCGCGGGATTCCCGAAGTGTCGCACGATTTCGCGAATTTCGCACACTTTCGGGATTTCGCAGAGTTTGAGGAGTTTTATGGGATTCTGGGAATCGCGTCTTGCATGATTTATTGTAACAACTCCGCATCGTAGTTCACATAACTGCCTTTGCATGTAGCGGATAGAAAGGCGTCAAGTTTCAAAAGAAAATCACAAGAGAGAAACACCATCACGCCGAAGATTGCATGCATGTAAGCATTGCCAAGTCTCAAACAGATTTTTGTCATAGCCATAATGTGTAGTGCAGAGAAAAATCGCAAGAGTTGGTTCGAAAGGAAAGAAGCACAAATTGTTCGCGATCGTTTTTGAACCAGAACCTTTGTTAAAGGACCGGTAACTGTGTATCTCGGCATATCGGTTGTTCTTAGATAAGATAGCAACATTGTTTGCGAAGCCAACGCTCTCTATGTGAGCGTCACATTGTTTTTGATATGTCCGAAACTACAGCGCTTTTAAACAAAAAGTAAGTTCTTATGATTATGGTATGATTATGAATACTCGTGTAACTTCCCCTGTGTCTTCATTTTACTTCGCGAGAATAGCTTTTTTATGTCTTTTATAACATTGAACTTTTTTGATGACAGTGGTGCTACTTATGACTCGATGAAAGTCAACAACAACTACTATCACTGTCACGATGAAATTAGCAGAGAAAATCTGGCTAAGTCAAAAAAGGGTGGGTCATTACGATTTCGTTGCTATTGTAAACCATCCGGTCATTACAGCTATCCGAATTCTGTGGATTTCTCTCATAATTTGCCTCTTCTTCATGACATGTGAGGTTATCGGAGGATTTTGGGCCAACTCTTTGGCTATCGTCACCGATGCTGCGCATTTGGTAAAAATCGAGGCGCTTGCTCTACTGCTTTTTGTCATTATTCCTTTTACGTAAAATCAAACTTGAAGCAGCTGCTTATGCTAACTGATTCTAGATGAAGAGATGCAAAACTTTTGCTGACATCTTTCTTACCGCAACTATTGAGATCTTCCCTCGGTGCACTAGGAATAGGCGAGTATGGGCGCATGGAGTCACAAAAAATTAGTCACAAGAACCTAGCTTGAAACTGCTTTCTAAGAAGGACTACCAAAGCGTCTCATGCAAATGCCTAATAGATACTTATGACTTATTGATCTGAGCCACTATTTCAGCTTACTGACTTCGCATCTATGTTGATATCATTGTTTTCTATCTATATCGCAACAAAGAAACCCTCACAGCGTATGAGCTTCGGATTTTACAGAGCTGGTGAGATCAGTTCTTCAGTCAATTTCGATGCATACAATCTTGCTGCGGGAGCAAAGCTCACTTCCAAAAGTGAGAGTTTCTATCGCATCACACCAATTATTGTTTGACCCAAGCCCGCTCACTCTCCTGCCTCAAAAGTCTCGCGGCTTCACACAAGAAGTTCCTTCAGAAGTACATCCACAAAATTGCCTGGAATTATTTTCTGTGTCCTTTTACCAGTAAATTTACTGACGTTCGACATGGCTGCACCTATGTATGTCGCATCATACAACCTTTAATTCAACTGGCTTGGGGGCGGGGCTTTGTGACAATTAAGGCCGCTCGCGCCCGCGACGCAGTCTGCGTCTCTCCCGCGGCGTGCTCTCTGATCACTACCTGGCCTTAATTAGGTCACGAAGCCCCGCCTTCCGGCCGCTAAGCCAGATGAACGAAGGGTACTTGAGCTCATGCAAGCCATCACTTCTTGTTATGTCATCATTATAAATCAGAAACACCTGTCAAATTTTTCCCTCTTCGTGCCACACGTAGATAAGCTTTTGCGATAACGTGAAAAAAAAGTTTAGAAAAGATATGAAACCGCTATCAACTTCTTGTTCGAATTGTCAATATACTACTGCAGAGTGCATTCAGAGGTTCTGGGAGCATTCTTTTCTGTATTTTTGATATGGATAGTAACTGGTGTGCTGGTTGTGATGGCAGTAAGACGAATGATACACAAGGATTACGAAATTGATGCTACAATAATGGCTATAACTGCTTCAATAGGAGTGGGCGTGAATATGATGTGGGTTTTACAAGACAAGTTTTCATCATCAAGGTAAATCCTGCTTCAGAATGGGTATTCTTCTATACTTTGGTGGTCATTCACACTCGCATAGCGGTGGCCACAGTCACGAAATTCGTGTGGCTAACGCAGAGCATGGTATGTTTCTTTTTTCCGAGTTATCATCAGGGCTGAGCAAGAGGTCAGCCACAATCCTTAAAGGCAGCGTCCGGGCAAAAACGAAAATGTAGAGTACAGGGGCGCCCGTCCTGGGTAAGGCTCTTGCCCAACTGGCGATGCACCAATCTTCTGAAGCGAGAAAAACGCTTTAGAAGTGGCGACCGGGACGCCCGGCGACCGGGGACGGGTAAATTCGATAAGCTAGAGTGCGCATACCGCACACAGTCAGGACGTAGGGTCCCACAAAGACTCTGCGTCTTGACCTTGGCGGCAGGCGACAAAATTCGAATTAAAAGCTTCTGGAAAAGCCCATTTTCGACGTTTTAGTGCTCTCCTAGCTGCATTTTCGGAATCAGCGGGAAGGATAATCCCAGGTAAGCGAGAAAAATTCCATTCGAAATTTTGCCCGGACGCTGCCGTCGAAACGACTCCCCCCCCCCGTGCTATATTTTCCAGGGGGTGATTGTTGACTCTAAATTTCCGGTATAGCAAGAAGAGGCTTTGAGCTCGATACTCATACTAGGAAAGGAAAGATTTCTGACTGTTGACGGCAAGTTAAGGAGGTCAGGCACAAGGCTGTAGGAGCTCGGGTAGCCTGACCTTCTTGAGGGGTTGTGCCTGAACCCATTAACTTTTTTTTCGAAAAGCTTTTCTACCCAAGTTTTATGTGCTTCGCTAGCACAAACCTCGAAGATTCTACAATAGGTGGTGAGCTGCTCCGACTTGTTCGACCTTCTGGTAATCCGTGGAGTTGAGGCACTCAAGGTGGAAAAGCGCCGGTTAAAATTTTGGCAGCACTTCTTGGTCCACTATTTGAGAGCGATATGAAGCCTGATTCCAAGCATAGACTCATAGAGAACATTACTTTGATATGAGTATGAAAAAGCTGACTTTTTTCACTTTTCCAAATTAATCATGTTTGAAAATCACGCCTTTTAGACCCTGAGAAACACTAGCAAATGCAGTAGGTAAAGGTTTGTAGAGCTCTTAGAGGTAATTTGAAATCTGATTACGCAAATGACACCCATTTTACACAGCAAGCTTCCTTGGTGGCCTTATGATATGTCAAGGTAAGAGACGAAGACTTGAATTTTGGCTGAAACTTCGATTGTGGAATTAATCAGTATGCTGTTAACAACGTAATTCCCCTCCCTAACTCCTCAGGTCGGGCACGCCTGGCCCCATGCTCAATCCTGGTTATGATTCATCTTGCTTTCCTTCCAACCCCACAGGAGCCGAACATTCATTTGTGTACGTTGAAATCAAGATACCCTAAAATCATAGATAAGTCCTCCCATCAGATAAGTCCGCCTACAGATCAGTCCGCTAAAATCTCACAGATAAGTCCGGACTTATCTGTAGGCGGACTTATCTGATGGGAGGACTTATCTGCAAGATTTTGGCGGCGAGAAGGCGATTTTTCATCGATTATTCGTATCAAAAAGGCGGACTTATCTGTAAGACTTTAGGGGTATATTGTTTACTGGGGCTTCGCGGATTCTTCGCAAGAGGTTCTTCTATTGACTGCCATGCATCTTCAAAACTTTTTACCATTTGGTGCATCTGCTACCAAACTTTATGACCTTTTGTTTTGAACCGTTTACAACTCGCTGCGATAGGGGATACAGCTTCAAAATTCGCGCATAAACTCTCAGATTTATGCAGCTCTTTGCGAGTCTGCAGTATACCATTGTCTGCTTTAGGTAAAGCTTCGAATGATGAACCAAACATCAATGTTAGAGCCGCTTTCATCCACGTATTGGGCGATCTTATTCAGAGTGTCGGCGTTCTAATCGCAGCACTCATTATATATTTTCGAGCAAGTCTTATGAAACTTTTTTGCTGCTTCTAGAAGAGACGCTTTTCGTTTAGGAAGACCTAGCCATCATGGATCCTATATGCACACTCATCTTCTCTGTAATTGTGCTTTGCACAACTATTTACATTTTGAAGGACGCTATGGTGGTTTTGCTTGAAGGTGCAATGATGAACATTTACTAGTTTAGCATACACTTGCGCATGTTCGCTTACAGGTAGACCCAATAACATCGACTTCACCAACGTCTTTTCTTCTCTCGAGCATATTAATGGTGTGAAAAAAGTGCATGATTTGCGAATATGGGCTCTAACAATGGATAAGGTTTGAACTTTTCTACATCACTACAGGATTTGTTGAAATGCTGCGAATTTTGTGATCTACAGCTTTAGTCGGCATAAGTGATAAACCATTTTAGATCGCTATTTTCAGCTAGCTGTTTCCGTACATCTGGAGGTGGCCGAGCCGGAAATTGCACAGTCGGTTCTACGAGAGACGCGAGCAATGCTGCAGAAAGTTTACAATGTTCACGAGAGCACGATTCAGATTGAGAACTTTGTTGAGAAAGACTGTGGCCGTTGCGATGTGCCCGCACAGTAGCCATATGCATGCACCATGTTTTTCATCAAATCCTAAACGCTTTCATTACTCATCAACGGGAATTTTCTATAGCTCAAGGCAACATAAAAGCTCTATAAATGTTGTGTCATCGAAATGTCTTGCGTCAAATTGCTGGCAAAAGCCCTATAAAGCTGTGTAAGTACCAAAAATTAGCGGACTTGTGCAGCTTATGGCGTCACGTCACTTTGAGACGCTTCCTGGAAATACATATAGTTCAAGACTAAAAGTCAAAGGCCCCAAGTATTTTCACATACAAAGACAAATCGAAGAACAGCTACAAAAAAATGTGGTCATACGAACGTCGCTTGTCAAGAGGAAACCATAGCTAGTGGTATAGATGTGTCCTTGTGCAACTTAGTTTACAGTTATTATTAGTAATCCCTCGTTTATACCTTCCACCGCAGAATTTCTCAGGTCATGAAACTTGTGGACCTCCAAATGTGGAGCTCTGAGCATAGAGGTTAATAACATGCGCAAAGACCTTTTTGTCGCGTGTTCTTTGAGGGAAACGTGTTAGAAAGCTTATTATATACTCACAAGAGTATGTGTCGGAAGGAGGAGCGGAGTGAGATAATCGTTACAAAATGTCGCTCGAATCAGAACTACCATGACTGGGAAGATGATCCCAAATTCCATTCGTCATTCTCTGACATGAAGGTTTTGTGTACACAGGTAACTCAAGCCATGACCAGATACTTGATAAACTTCAAATTGTACCCGTAACCAATACTTTACATTTCGCTTTCTGAATCAAGGTACAGTCCAAACTGTTCAAGGACGGGCTCTCATCTTCCCGGAGGTTGACATATATGGATCAGATGAAGTGATTAATGCAGACAGAAATAAAGTTCGTCCGCGACCAACCGAACGCAACATTGGTATTACCCTAAAATCCGTACAATAAGTCCGGACTCATCTGCAGTTTTGACACGAAAAACCGATGAAAAATCGTCCTCTGCACCGCTAAAAGTCTTGCAGATAAGTCCTCCTAAATCCTCTACCAGATAAGTCCGCCAGATAAGTTCGCCTATCCTGAGCATGAGAAAGCGGACTTATCTGCAGGACTCTTGGCGGCGCGAGGGCGACTTTCGTTGTCAAGAAAGCGGACTTATCTGCTAGGCCTGCTGCGGACTTATCTGATAGGTGGACTATGTGATAGGCGGACTTATTGTACGGATTTTAGGGTAAAAGTTTCCCACTGCAGTGAACTGGAACCCTTGAGTGGACTTTACATGCCTCAGAAGAACAAAATGATAGTGATGATAATCAGAAGAAAGTAGGGCACTTCCTGAGATGCTTTTAAATGTAAGAAGAAAAGAGCCGTATTTCTGTAGAATATATTAGACAGCTTCGTGAATTAGACATTATGAATTAGACATATGTCTAGCATCCATTGTTCACAATCCTTTGACCCGACAAAAGCTGCAGACAGATGGCTCCATCTGTTGTTGCTCTTCGCATAAGACATGCTAAAAATGAGCTTTACAGCAGTCCACACAAAGAAGAACTGAAAATAAATATGTATGAAGGGCTGTTTCGCTGACAATCAGGTCTCCGGGTCAAGCTGATATTCGTTTTTGTGGCCGAAAAGGCAAAAATTGCGATGTTTTTTAGTCAATGTTTCGCTTTTTTAAGGGTTCTAAGTTTAGAGTTTAGGGTCGAAGAGGACTTCCTACGAAATTTTCGAGATCAAAGGGGAGCTTTGTTTCAAAATTCCCTGGTGCCAGCTCGTCCAAGCCCTGCTGACAATTCGCTGAACATGAAACATGTTTGCGGTCCAAAGCACTACATATCGCGTGAAACGTAGCCGCGTCATATGTTGCTTATCAGTTCGTGGAGCAATCATCGTGGGAGTTTCTAGCCCTAAGCGCTTCGTGTCTCAGCGGTCTCTCTCTTCTTGCGAGCATGTTGTCTCACAACTAGATGCAATCGCCAACATCAGGTCATGCTTAAAAATTGATAATCCAAGCAGCTGCGACGCAAGACTTGCCTCAACAGTGTTGAGAGCAAAATGTCTTCACCGCACCTCTAGCTTTAAACTATTGTTTATTCTCTGCGCCAACGATTGATCGCCGTTTTACTCGCTCTCAAGCTTGGTGGCATGGGAGTTCACTGTCCTATTAATGCCCTTGTTGATCCTCGAAAAGCAAAAAATACCAAGCCTACAGAACAAAATCTCTGTACTTATTCTAATGACTGTGAAAGATTTCAATCTATTCTGATTCTATCTTTTTTCGACATGGTTCCACTACTCTGTGTAATTTTTCTGTCACTTAACGAAAAATGGCTATCACCATAAAACTTCTAGCGACGCAGACTACACATTCGTCAATGGAAGGAGAAAGTCCAATAGTTACAAACGAAAGCGTGCCACATGCGAAGGATGATGAAGACGAGCTTCAACCGCTTGCACCACGTCAGACCATACACTTCATTCATTGTATATCTTGTTATGTTGCGAACTGTGATATGGAGAGCATTGTAAAGTGTTCTGTGAGTTGCACAGAAATCTTAGGCATTTCTTTCTATGAGAAATGACGCCAGGTACTTCGATGTCCGCAATGTGCTGCTCGAATGCATGAATGCAAGATAGAGGATCATCTCAAGGAAATTTGTTCCAAAGTGGACTGTTTTTCTCTGTTTGAATAAACCACTCAACTATATAGCTTTTTAGGTGATCGTCCCATGCATCAATGCTAGTTTTGGTTGCGACAGAATGGTGAGGAGGGACAAAAGGTCACGACATCTTGAGAGATGCTGTGCGAGTGTGGTAGTTTGTGGAAGGTAAAGTCGTTTTAAAGACTGCTGGTCACGTCTTTATGTCTCATAGCATTTAATAGAGAATGGGCAAGGTACGCCCTATCGCCCATGTCAAAACTACAGCTGAAAAATTGGGGGAAGAGAATCGAGGCCGAGCCGGTGAGAAACTTCCGCAATCTTCCGCTCGATATAGCTCTTACGTTCTCCGACCAAGTAGGTGATTTCATATCCATTGTAAGATGTCAGGATATTTCAACATCCTATCTTGAATTGAATATCTATGTATATATTTCACCTTCAGGATGTCATCGTAAATAGCTACGGCTTTTCAAGAAATGATCGAGTGCGGCGCAGAGATGGTCTGCATCCATCGCATCCTGTCCTGCCTTTGAGGGAGTTAAGATCTATGCTTCCATGAGTTCTTTCTTTTTGCTCTTTTCTAACAAGGGAAGACATCTATTTTATTGTTAGTTTTTTTGAGATGACGCTTACATTCGCACAGCTTAAAATGCTGAAATCAAACATGCTGTGCGTAGCTGCGGAGTTTCACTTTGAAGCGTGTTCTGAGCTTTTCAATAATGCTTATTGACATACAGCTGAATAGGAAAGAAGGCCTTATTGCCCGCAGAAAGTGGTGGGAAATCAAAATATGTAACATCAGATTTAGTCATTTGGTATTGACAATGTTACCGTAACATCGATGGGTCAACACAATTTTTGGTAAGAAAAAGCTGATAAGTTGCTCTAGAGTAGCGTGTAGCAGCTTTGAATAGCTTTCAAAAGGCAGAACTAAGTTAGGTGCCTTTCCGTGTAAGGTAAAAGACAAGTTGTATTACAGGTGCTAAACAACTCTTCTTGTTAGGTAGAGCTTACCTCCTGAACCCTCGAATTTTAGATACGCAATTACGATGGGACGTTAGTGGGTGCTTCCGAGTTCAAAGACGCCGAGAACAGTAGTGATGAAGAAAGGCGGGTGAAGGTACGTTCACCAAACGCACCATTCAGATCATTTTTTCGTTATTCAGATTAATAATACGCTGCCAATTCGTATCGAAAAGATGGCAATTTTTTTGTCAGACTGGAGGTGCGCATAGTCAAGATTGCATCGGTCACTGAAAATTCAAAAATGCTTACTGATATATCGAAAAAGTTGCATATTTATGTGGCAACATACTCTTTATTCAGGAGGCTAAGCTGAAGAAAAAGAGAGCTATGTTCGCTAACTGCTACATGTGTCAGGTTGGTGAATACTTCTGCTAGTACGTGAAAGAGTGGCCAATTCTTCCAATCTCGAGGTTAAATAATTCACTAACGAAATTGTAACAAGGGTACAGTACCCACACTAATTATTCGACAGAAAACGCAAAAACTGACGATCCGCGTTTTTTTCGTTTTTTCTTCATAACTTCCTCCAAATTGCATAAAATACAAATCCGAAGAAAGCATGATGCTCAGCAAGATGAATCTTCTGATATACTGCACTCTTGTACCATTCTGTTTTCAATCTGCTCGATTTTTGTGTGAGGACGGGTATTCGTAGTGGTGTAACTCAGCGAAGAACACATATGGACGATTCATGTAAACATGGTTCAGTAGTGCTGTCCCCGTAGATTATCATGTACTAGTGAGTAGCGAAGGATTCCCTTTCCATAGGGAAAGATAGGCCGAAGATTTTGAAAAAATCGATGTCTCTCAAATTTTCGTTACCGTAATCCTACAGTAAGACGCTAATTTGCAAAGCAGGTGTGTTTTTCGTGATCAGTAGGTTAGATAACCTCTATGCGCAAGTTTTCCGAGGAATTCGGATCCTTTCATTTTTTCTCGTTCTAGGCTGCGAAGCTCGCCGACGGGTTTTGGCTAAAATATTGACGATCTTGGATTGACCGGAAACTTCGCTCATAGAGGTTTTCGGTCTTGCTGATTACAGAAATAGTGACCTCTGTGAAGCGTAAGTTCTTTTGGCAGAGTTATGCTGACATGAGAGGAATGCTGCGATACTACGCAAGTTCCTAAGTTTGTCTGCCCTTTGCGCGTGTCTCTTGGACAACTTACCAGCTCCTTTTTGTAATTTGAAATCACTAGAGGCGTCAGCTCACATTTCGGCGATCTATACAGGTAAGGGCCTAGTTTAAGCATGCTCTTAGAGCATGCTTAAACTAGGCCCTTACCTGTATTGATCGCCGAAGTGTGAGCTGACGAACTCACGTCCTCATGAAAATCGTTCGAAATTTTAAGATCGCATATTTTGGCCAAATATCGCCGCGAATGGTTACAGATGTCTGATTGCAGATATTATGTTTATATACACATGTAAATTGATAATTTATGCGCATACTGCTGCTTACCGCTTGTGCCAACTCTTACACCTGTAACTCAAAGTTTGCAAAAAATCGATAAGCCGATATCGACCGATGACGAAATGTAATCTATCAGACCAGCTCGGCTCCTAAGGCTGGGTTCATACTGATTCTCATGTTCCGGAACTGTTCTCGCACAGTCCCGCAATGTTCCCGCACTGTGCTGGGAACTGTGAGGGAACTGCAACTGTGCTGCATACGCTGCAGCCGGGAAACGGTCAGGAGGTACGATCGTCGCGATTTTATCGATTTTTTGCAAACTTTGAGTTACAGGTGTAAGAGATGGCACAAAGGGTAAGCAGCAGTATGCGGCATAAATTATCAATTTACATGTGTATATAAACATAATACCTGCAATCAGAGTCATCTGTAACCATTTGCGGCGATGTTTGGCCAAAATATGCGATCTTAAAATCTCGAACGATTTTCATGAGGACGTGAGTTTGTCAGCTCACAGTTCGGCGATCAATACAGGTAAGGGCCTAGTTTAAGCATGCTCTAAGAGCACCGCCTCTAGTGATTTCAAATTACGAAAAGGAGCTGGTAAGTTGTCCAAGAGACACGCGCAAAGGGCAGACAAACTTAGGAACTTGCGTAGTATCGCAGCATTCCTCTCATGTCAGCATAACTCTGCCAAAAGAACTTACGCTTCACAGAGGTCACTATTTCTGTAATCAGCAAGACCGAAAACCTCTATGAGCGAAGTTTCCGGTCAATCCAAGATCGTCAATATTTTAGCCAAAACCCGTCGGCGAGCTTCGCAGCCTAGAACGAGAAAAAATGAAAGGATCCGAATTCCTCGGAAAACTTGCGCATAGAGGTTATCTAACCTACTGATCACGAAAAACACACCTGCTTTGCAAATTAGCGTCTTACTGTAGGATTACGGTAACGAAAATTTGAGAGACATCGATTTTTTCAAAATCAAACGGCCTATCTTTCCCTATGGAAAGGGAATCCTTCGCTACTCACTAGTACATGATAATCTACGGGGACAGCACTACTGAACCATGTTTACATGAATCGTCCATATGTGTTCTTCGCTGAGTTACACCACTACGAATACCCGTCCTCACACAAAAATCGAGCAGATTGAAAACAGAATGGTACAAGAGTGCAGTATATCAGAAGATTCATCTTGACGAGCTGAGCATCATGCTTTCTTCGGATTTGTATTTTATGCAATTTGGAGGAAGTTATGAAGAAAAAACGAAAAAAACGCGGATCGTCAGTTTTTGCGTTTTCTGTCGAATAATTAGTGTGGGTACTGTGGTACTGTACTTTACGGAAAGAACAGGAAAAATCAGTTGATCATTTCGCAGTTCTATCATAGCACCACTATCAATCATTTCAAGATAGATCCTTCAAGTCAACATCTGCATACCCTCGGCAACGAATCATCGAAATACGATCAGATTAGAAAAGTGAAGAAAAGGGATAGAGATATAGACGAATTTCATAAGATGTACGATCTCCAGGTAAGTCTCAAGCATGAGATTTGGTCAAGATAGACTGATGTCCTAGATTAACATCTCGCCCGAAACTATGCCAGAATTTCTTGTGCGAGGCGAAAACATAGCCTTCATTCGTGCCGGTGGGTCGCTCTACACGAGGAGGTATCTGGTAATCTTTCCGTACGAGACAAATAATTTGGTTCTTTTCAGATGCCTGAAGACATTTCGACGAACTGAATATGCCGATCATCACCTATCGCAGCATGTGCGCTCTATAGATAGTTTATCAGATCTAGTTGTTAGATGTCCAAATTGGATGCGTGGTTGTTTATTCTACACTAAACGATTGACGCCTAGAAGCGGGACAATACGGTAAATAAATTTATCTTCAAGACTGTAGTTTTCCAATGTGTTTGTTTTCCGATTCTTATCTTCTCTGGACTCGTTCTCTTACCGACCCACAATACCACAATCTCATGAACATTCAAAATGTACGCAGGAAATAGAATCACTTCCCGGATGGTTGATTAGACCACTGATAGACTATTTACCAAACTCCGCTATTCGTTCTTTGTCACAAACATGCAGGTGAGATCCGATATCATATGCTACTACTTTTATAAATGAGTGTTATCAGCTTTCAGATCGTTAAGAGAAACAATCTTTGCATGCGCAAAAGAAAGATCAATGGTCAGCTTGATATGGGAAAAGCGTGATGGCTGCTGGTTTGAAAGCGGAGTAGTTAGTGATTGCAAAACAACTTTCACCCTGATAACAGCATTTTTTTTTGCAGTCTATTGACTTCTCCGTTGCGGAAGGTCCTCCGCAGTTCGACTGGGAACCAGCGAAGGAGCTCAGCGACCATCTGGCTCACTGCACATACAACGATGTCTTTGAATACGCAGAAAGCCGTGTCCCCGTCCTTGCTGCTAATCTCCAGCAGATCACCAATGAATTTATGATAAAATTACCGCACTTTATTTGATTCACTGGGTACTACTTCATCTAAGCTCACCTTACCTAATTTATAATCATACTTCTGCTTAAAGGCAGTGTCCAGGCAAGAAGTAGATTCTAAGATTTTTGCTTACCTGAACCTATTCGCTATGCTGAATCCGAAAATCCATACTGGAGGCCGCAAAAACGGCGAAAAGGACTCTATCGCAGGATGGATATCAGCAGATGGGTGGGGTCCTCCACTCTGTAAGTCACTCTCGCAGCTTCCGCAGCGATCCTCTCGCTTCGCTAGCATCGCCACCTGCCAATTGCGAACGCTTGACTAGAAGCCGTCACAGAGAAGATCGGTATGGAAGTTAGGAGGTGGATCACAGAGTGTAAGACCCCGCCCACAGTGTGGATTCTCGGATTCACGGATTCAGCATAGCGAACAGGCCCAGATGAGCAAAAATCTCGAAGGCCACTTATTGTCCGGACACTGCCTTCGAGAATACCATCATTGTTCATTTTAGTAACTCTTCTCGTAGGTTACGTCGAATGTACTCAAGGGGCACCTATCACCCTCTTTCCCGATCCTTGGTTCCGATTTGATTGAGCTTAAAGGCAGTGTCCGGGCAAAAAGTCGATTTTGAGATTTTGTGCTTACCCGGCCTATTCCCTAGGCTGAATCCGAATATCCACATTGGAAAGCGCGAAAACGGCGAAAAAGGGCTCTAACGCAGGAGTGAAATCGGAAGTGGGCGGGGTCTTCCCCACTGTGAATTTTGCAGTCCCAGCTTCTGGAGCGATCTTTTCAATTCCACTAACCGCCCTGACATCTCAAGGGACCAAGTGCGAATGCATGATCTGAAGCCGGAAGCGAAAAGATCGCTCCGGGAGCTGGGACCGTGAATTCACCCTTGGGAAGACCCCGCCCACTTTTGATTTCCCTCCTGTGTTAGAGCCTTCTTTGGCCGTTTTCGCGCTTTCCAATGTGGATATTCGGATTCAGCATAGCGAATAGGCCCGGGTAAGCGCAAAATCAAAATCGAGTTTTTGCCCGGACACTGCCTTCAAATAGCGCGAAATATTCGGAAGATCTTCTTTTGGCGATTGAGCGAGCGTAATCGTCCTGTGCTTCGGGCGCTGGTCTCGGCAAATAGGAGAAAGGCATAGCATGCTTCAATGCAATGTAAGCGGGTCGATCATGCTTGCCATGCTGAACATGTCAAGGGGTACATGATATACGGGAGCACCTGTGCGGGTGTTGTCAACATGAGATAAACATCATCCAAAGCAGCTCGAAACGCTGATTGCAAAACTGACTTTGATAGCTGCAGAACGAGTCTGAGTGGGAAGTTATGGGCATTTTTGAGCACCAAAATTTGCATTGTTTGAAGTACTTTATGGTCATGGAAATTGTTCAAATGCTTGTTGCACTCCATATATTGAAAAGAACTAAGATTGATGAACTGTTTCAACTAGGTTTGTTCCCATACATGGGCTTTGATAATTCTGATTACTCTCAGCGTTGTGAATTTCCCGCAAATAAAGATAATTTCCAACCCTGAGATTGGGTCTGCAGCTAAGGAAGACTGTATTGGAATTAGCGCTCCAAGCTGAGTTTGATGATACCAATCTCGTATCAAAAAGGCACTGCGACTTCTGGTACTTCCCCCAATTTGCAGATTTGTCACCCTTGCACAGAATTTCCAAGAATCTATGACAGGTATAACAAACGCAAATCGCCAAGAAATTTGCTTCGTCAAGTAGGTGTTGATGCGTACTAACACTTATGGTCACAAGTCTCCGATTCTTCCATTCCCTACACTGTTCCAAAACCTGCAAAGAATGGACCGACACGTGAAGCGTAAGACAAAATCGAAAATGACCTTTGTTTCAAGTAACTAAAGCGAACTAGCATTGTTTAGTTTTGACTGTGTTACAGCTATCACTTTTGGGTCAATTGCCGGGTTGTACATCACGAATAAATTTATGGCACCAACCATGCTTTAGATACGAAAATGAAATCGGTGGGCTAGTCAATCGTCAGAATTCGTGACTGTAGAGGAGGTGTGAGAGTTTTGAAGGAGTTCTCGCACGGCCAAGTCAACACAGTGAAGAGCATCGCAGATACGGATTCAAATCCTTGAGTGAGCTGTTAAAATGCGAGAACTGGGTTTCTTATATCCTGTCTCTTTCTTTGTCTCTGACCGTTTATAGTGCAAGTTTGTGCTTTATTAAGTTAAACAACCATAATGCACTACTTGCAACTGGATTCATTTTCTTTACATGATGTTTGCATTGCGCAGAATAGCAAACTATAATTTTGTACTCAAACTTTTGTGATTTCTGCACTACATGGAAGACTTTACCTTCATTTATAGCAGTCTTAGCTTCTCAAAGAGATTCTAAGCCACTATGGTACTTAAGCAAGCAAAAAATAATTTATTCTCAGTGACGCACTTGAATCAGGTCACTGAGTCGAAGTAGTATAATACAGCTGCACTTATACAAACGCATCCCCGTTCTGCCATGATTAGCATTCTATAGAGCTGCCTATAAGAGGATGCGCACGGCTATTATTTGTAGACGGATTAAGTCGCCATCACCGATGCTCATATATCATCTTCTAACAGTTGTTACGGTCTCTTACACTCGCTATTTCGATGTTTGCCCGTCGAGAAAAATCTCAATTGGTGGTGAGTTTAAATGTATATGCTATCAATGTCAGCCAAACAACGTAAGCAATTACGTATCAATTAAATTCGTTTAGCTTGTTTGTCCGGGCTCTGTCCTCTTGGAGCTGAGTGTATAAATAATTACTGTTGTAAGTTAAACAAGAGCGACACCACAGCTTCGCTGATAATGACTTTCAGGTAAGGAAAAAATTGTTGCGACTACGATAGAAAACGAGGAGATTGAACGTTACGGTAAATGCAGGTATAGTAAAGGCTTCGAACTATGGGTAGCAAGATTGTGAATGCATACTTTAGAGATGGGCAGGACGCCACTGGTGAATGCGCTTTGAAGCTCTGTCCATCAGGATACATTTGCGTAGATAGTCTCTGCTGCGGTAAGCACTGTTGTAAAGCATTAGTAAGTGATTCGGAGCAGTGGGACATAACCTGGTTGTACGGATTTTAATGTGATATACTGCAGTGACCGCCAAAAAGTTGCGGATAACCCCCTTCCTTTTTTCATCGCTCATCGGATGGAAAACAAAGATGAAAAAATGATTGGGTTACATGTGGTGATAGAGCTCCTGATTTACAATCCACACACTACGTTTAATGGAAAATGTGCATTCTAAAAATAAAAAAAATTTTTTTTTCTAAAAAAGTCCGAAAGTGGCCGCGTCACGATGTCGCGGACAATAAATCTTCGAAGGCGAAAAATTTCCTTCAGATCTTTGTTTGGAGCAAAACAGAAGCTTTCCTGGTAGATGAGCCTACTATATTGAATATAAAGCTCATCGAGGACAATAATCAGGTAGTGGTCACTTCCAAAATTCCCAAGCTTGAATTTTATTTGGCTTTTTTTTCAAAAAAAATAACTTCTTCTTCAAATGGAAACCTACTCAAAACGTCCTAACAAAGCTGTTCAGATAAAATGGAGGCTCTTTGCCATCCTTTATGCATCGGACGTGTGCAGGTGAGCTTCTTTGCCGAAAATGGCTCTTGACAGTGCGTGCACATGACCACGTCTGCACCTCACCACTGACTTGCACCGCTTTGCAGGCTTGTAGTTCGGCCGACAGTCAATCTACGAGCCTGCAAGTAGACTCTTTTGAAAGAGCGTGAATTCCTCAACGTGATGGTATGTAGATGAGTTGAGTTTGGGAATTCCAGAAAATTTGGATGGGGTGAAAAGGAGCAGCTTCAATGATAGGCTAAAAATTTTTCAGCTAAGTTTGAGCAGAGCTCCTTTCGCTACCGGTTCCATCCTAGAAATTTGAAACTGTCAATTTTCTTGTAATAGATCCATTTCGAAGGTCTGACAAGGGAAGTGTAGACCATGTTAGAGGGCATAAAACTCTGATTCCAAAACTACTAGGTTGTAACAGAATTAATGCAGGTTTCTCGCGCACCTTTTTCAAAGTGCTGGCTTAGATTGAGAAAGTGTTTTCCCAGAGAGTTTTGCGCACTATTTGGACGCTCCTTTCTTCTACTTTCTTATGCACTCTTTCGTTTCAGTGGAAATGAATTTGTCTAGAAGTTCTCAGCCCATAAATTTAAGAAACCAAATCTTGAAAATCTTTCTTTCACTATACCTGGCTCTGAAACCACCCAACAATCGGAACTCGCTGCAAACACAGTATTTTCGAGTGAGCTATGCTACAAAATGCATGTTGAATGAATTCTGAAAACACCTGAGCCGAGAAATTTGAGAGCAAAATTCAGCGGTTGCTGTGGTCCGTCTGCCCTATATAAAAATCCTCAGCGCTAAGCGACTGCGGATTCCGCTTTATATAGGAAGAATAGATCATAGACATTTATGGCTGAAAAAATCGGGAGCCGTTCCCCCTATTCAGCTCTAAAAAAATTCAAAAGTTCCAAAAAAGCGATTTTTTATATACTCAGAAAAGTCGAAAAAATGAGTACTTTCGAAATTTTCTAAAATATCCCCTCGCAAAGAATTCTTTTTCAATTCCGAACCTAGCGCTGCTGCACAACCGACCATAGGCTACGCAGTGAGTTATATTTGCGCTACCTCACTATATTTGGTAGTAAGTTATGGTTTCTCAATGTGAAGGTTTTCCAAAAAAATTCTAGGCAAAACTCGGGCTATCAGATTTTTCTCACAGTCAGTGAAGTTACAACAACATAATGCAAATTGGGTTGAAAAAGGTTTGCTGATTACAACAATTCTTGTTGCATACGAAAAGACTATTTGTGTAAAAAGTTATAATGATCCAAACGCAAAATTCAGAAAATCTGCATTAATTCTGTTACCTAATACCTTTCTTATCTGTAGGACATTTATGGACGAGGAGTTATGAGCGTTTTTGGAGCCAAAAATTGTGTGTATTCTAAATAAAATGAGTGGCTGAAATCTTAATAGCCTTAAAATAATGCAACCAAGTGTGACATACTTTTTATTTTGGAGTTTTCTTTTTGGATAAAGTGCTCTGATGATTGTCACTGCTCCATTTAAGAGCTAGAAAAAGTATTACGGCTATTTTTGTCCTACTTGTACATTGATTTCTTTGCTCCAATAAGCGTCATAATTCCTCGTTTAAAAATGCTCTGCAAATAAGGAAGGCAGATTTGGAATCGGCATTTTATACCCTTCAGTATGATATACACCCCATCTGGAAAGGCCACTTCGACCAAACATGCATTCGTTGTAAGACTCTTCTGATGTTGAAAAGAGCTTTCACTCCAATCATTTTTAAGGCTGCGCTTTTTCACCCCATCCAAATTTTTCGGGAATTCCCGAACTCAACTCATTTGCACACCATCGCGTCGAGGAATTCACGCTCTTTCGAATAATCCTGCAGGCTCGTAGAGTGACTGCTGGCCGAGCTACCCTGCAAAGCGGTGCTAGTCAGTAGTGAGGTGCAGATGGGGTCATGCACGCGCACTGTCAGGAGCCATTTACAGTAAAGGAACTCACCAGCACATGTCCGATGCATAGAGTATGGCAAAGAGCATCTATTTTATCTGAACAGCTTTGTTAGGACGTTTTGAATAGGTTTCCATTTGAAGGAATTTGGCTTGAAAAAGGTAATTAGAAGTTATTTTTTTGAAAAAAAGTCAAATAAAATTCAAGCTTGAATTTTGTAAGTAACCACCACCCGATTAGTCCTCAATGAGCTCTATAATATAGTATGCTCATCTGTCAGGAAAACTTCTGTTTTTGCTCTAACAAAGACCTGCAAATTTTCGCATTCAAAGAATAATTGTCCGCGACATTATGACGCGGCCATTTTCAGACTTTTTTAGAAAAAGATTAATTTTTAGAATACATACTATTCAAAAAACGTAATATTTGGGTATTAGCTCTTGAAAAGCTCTATCATATCGTGCAACCCAATCATTTTTTCTTTTTTGTTTTTCATCCGAAAATGAGCGATGAAAAAAAAGGCGGCTTGTCGGTCACTGTATACAACTCGGAAGAGCTTTCTAAAGTTTGAGTTCAGCCGTTTTCATTTATAAGACGTTCAACAGTGAATAAAAGGAAACCAGAGATTACTTTTGCAGCTGATAACCACACCACAACTTTCAAGATATCAACTACAACACTGACCACACCTGGATGTGAGCAAGTGATTTGGAGTATCTTTTCTCACAGAAAGTCTTCATGCACTTTAGCCATAAGCATAGTCAGTGCCAAGACCTTCGTCCACACCATTCTTCCACTCACATCACCTTCCCCATCTGGCTCTTCCGCCTCGTCAGAGTCTGTCGACGGAGCCCATGTACTGGAGATGACAGACGAACCAAACTTAGTAGAGTGGACACCCCGGATAGGTAACCAAGGAGACAAAAATGGAGATACACGTGGGATCGAGACATCTACCGTGAATATGACAGAGATAGATTCGCGACACTCCAAAGAGCTCAAGCCAAACGAATCCAAAGAAATTGAGGTAAGACGGTAGGGACTTCAATAAAATATAACTCTTCTGCTCATATGAAGTGAAAACTATAGATACCTTAAGATTACTGGATTTGAAACTGAAAGTACTCGAAGGACACCAGTAACTACGGCAAAGCGCACAATCAGCGCTCACGAAACAACGGTTCCTGCATGGGAATTTACGGAAACTTCCGTTGACACTACGAGACTACAAGAGCAGCTGTGCCCTGTAGGAGACTCTATTGGAGGTAGGAGTTGTTCCTACGATTCTCGTAAATCGAACAACGAAGATACATCGGATTTTTACTGTTGTAAGTTTGATATCACAAAAATTCTAATTGTTTTGACCATCGGTAGTCCAAGACGGCACCGCGTGTGCCAAAATCCGTAGATTCGGAGTGAACAAAACGGACTGTAGTTTCTGAAATAATCAAAATAATCATTGCAACAAACTTTGTTCGACCAACATCTCAAATATCTCAAATTCAGAGTGCATAAGCGACCAATGCCCAGAAGGCCATACTTGTTTTCAAAACGCCTGCTGTAAGATTAGAATGCAGTTGGCTTCTTACAACAAATTTTACAAGTTTAGGTATTATAACTCCGCAGATCAACTGTACCGACTCCCTCAAAGGATGTCTGCCGCATCTTTGCGGTAAGAGAGGGTACACAGAGTTCACAACTTCTAAATGTGCCAAAACATGTGCGAGATGTCATGCATACGAGCTGGCGAGTGACCTATGGTTTTTTATGAAAGGTTCATAAATTATCCTTACAGGGTTCATCAGGATTGGTTCAGTGCCAAGATCGTCGCTCCGACTGTAAAGAATGGGTGGCGGAGGGCTTCTGTGAAAGTACGCTTTACTCCACTCGACAAAAGCTGAAGTTCTGTGGAAAAAGCTGTCACCTCTGTTGAACAGTTTTACTAGTGAATGTTGTTTGTACTTTACAAAGTAATCATCGCACGCACACTTTACCACCTTTTGCAAATGGTCCCAAAATAGAACTGTCACTTAACGTCTTTCATTACCTTCTACAAGTTGTCAAACAGACAACGTCCTCACGTACGAGACTTGAGATAATTCATAATAGGCTCCTCTTGTTGCAAGAGGACCAGATAAGAGTTAGGATATTGTCCAAACACTATATCTGAGCTTCTATAAGACTCTATCCGCAGTATAATTTGGTAGAGAGTTAAGAGATAAGAAACAATAATGCGAGAAAGAGCGGTGGGGAATTCAACCTTAGAGCAGATCCTCACATGCAGATAAAACATTTTTAAGCATGTGAATGCAAATGCCTTGCAAATAAAGAATATAGAGGAAGTCTTTAAAAATCCTCAGCACTGCGTAATTAAGCTTAGGTTTTGGCGGTTTTATTTTGCTTGTAGAAATGGAGAACAAGGCCCACGCAAGGGTGGCAATGGACCTGTGTGAAACGAATACGCCTTTGCCACTTTTATTTTACGATTTCCCCTCAGTCGCATCAACTGCGCAGGCTTGATTGGAGCGCGTTTTCTTGCTCAAAAGCCCGACTTGTTTGCTATGTCGGACTTTAGCAAAGAGGAGAGGAGGAGTATAGAAACCAGAATTTTACGGGTGTATGCCAAGAGGCGCGATTTTTATTGCCAGATGGACACCAAATAGCGCATAATAAGTGTCTTATGACTTTTTATAAATATTCAAGTATCAAGAAGAGATGTACTAGATAGTTGCATGGGTTGTTCATTCTTAATTCCTTGGAATCGATTCAGAACAGGTCAAAAACCCATAATGCAGTTATAGTCGTTTTCCCCCCACCAAACACCTATAGGTCTACACCTCCACTATAGTGGACGAAATCGAATTTGAACTAGAGCACGCCGGTTGCGGCAGAGCGCGGCACCGTTAGATGCATTTCAAGCTTGTAATTTTCTTTTGTGTTTTATTGTCGTTGTATTGTGATTTTTTTTTGTCTCAACGATGATTGTAATCAGAATTGAAGAGTTTTTTGTTGCTTAGCGATGTTTCATACTTTATGCTCGTTTCTCTATTCTGTTTTCAGGAAAGGTTGGAGGAACGATGCGCATGGAGAATTGACATGAAGTGTTCAAGGAAGCAACACTTGACTTACCGAGAAAATTTCACCAGTTTTCAAACTTAGTCGTTTTTCCAAGTTCAACTTAGAATCGTAATCAAAGAAACGAACATAACAGCAGGATCCATCGTTCAAGTGAAAGCAACAATTTCAGTACTAATTGAGAAAACGGTCAGCATTGAAACGTCGCGAAAACACAAAAAAAATTTGTTTGAGATTGAAGTGAAAGCTGTAAGTGCCGCGCTTTGCCGCAACCGGCGTGCTCTAGTTCAAATTCGAATTCGTCCACTAGGTGTCTTGGGGGTGGGGGGAGGGGGGTGTATGTCAAGAGGCGCGATTTTTATTGCCAGCTGGACACTAAGTAGCACATAATAAGTGTTCTGCAACTTTCAAAAGTGTATGAAATTTGCAAGAAGATATATTAGATAGTTGCATGAGCTGTTCAATCTTGATACTTCAGAAAATTTCAAAAGAGCAATTTTGAAGGTCAAAAACTCATGAAAATACATTTCAGAACAAATTCGTAAGTATTTCATTCCGATTTATAGCAAAAACCATGAAACTCAGCAATTGGTGACCTCAGGCAGACAGTAAGCTAATGCACTTTATCTGGTAATTTTTGAAGACTCGCATAGCACTGAACTGGAGTTTTAAGTTGGTGACAGCCAGAGAAATCGCGCCTCTTGACCGTCTCCCGGGGGAGGGGGAGGGGGGGGGGAGGACGACTATAAGAACAAATATAAATATTTCCGTCCGTTTTTCAGCAAAAGCCACGAAACTTAACAAGTGGCAACCTCAGATAGATAGTAAGCTTGTGCACTTTTCTGGTTTTTTGAAGACTCGCATAGCACTAAACTGGAGTTTTAAGTTGGTGACTGCGAAAATATCGCGCCTCTTGACCGTTTCCCGGATTTTACTACATAATAAATCTTAGGTGTAAGACAAACTTGCGTAGAATTTTCAGAAAACATATGAGTAGTAGAAGTTTTGCCTACTTGGGCATTAGGTGGGCAAATGCCCACCTAAACAGGAAGGAAGTTAAGCAAGGTCTCTACTCACATGAGTTTCTCAAAAGATTTCATTCTTTGTTTCTTCGCTCTACTGCGCGTATACACACCAAATTTCATGCCATATCGTCATCTGTGCATCTGCAAACAAGTCATTCTTCCAATTTTTGGCAGGGAGAAATTTCCTAAAAAAGCTTACACCTTTCAGTCACATGATTTTCCACAAATTTTCTCGCATGGCTATCCAAAGTACATGTTCTTATGCACTAGGTATCCCTTGAACATGTATACCATGACGAAAAAGCCTTTACACAATTGACGTGCTCAAACAAGGTCTTGCTTGCAGGCAGCGTACAACTAACGCGGAAAAAGTAGATTGCAATTGCCCATTCTGATAAAACTTTTGCTCAAGTGGCAATGTACTAATCTGCTTCTGAAGCTCGACGTGGAAGCCGAGGACGGCGGCGTCTTGCCCGCCGCCTTTGCGACAGCCACGTACACCCACACACTTTGAAGGCAGGGTCCAGGCAGTCTCGGACACAATTTTTATCGCTTTCCTATGCTTATCTCCCCGCTGATTCCAAAATGCAGTTTGTAGAGTACTAAAATGTCGAAAACGGGCTACTCAGAAGCCTCTGATTTTGGATTTTGACACCTGCCTCTGAGGTTAAGACGCAGAGCCGTGGTGGGACCCTACGCCTATCTGTGTGGTGATATACGCACTCTAGCTTATCGACTTATCCCTCGGTGTGCGCAATCCTTTGATCGTGGCGTAACTCTCTCAACTCCTGGAGCATTGCGCCTCAGTCTAAATGTGCTTGCGATGAGGCTAGTGAGTATGTGGCGGCTAGTATGAGCGGCTACTTTGGCGCGACAGTGAAAATTCAAAACCCCAACCTAGCCCGGACAGCGCCTCCACAGTAGGGTCTCGCAACGACTCTGCGTCTCAACCTTGGCAGCATTCGTCCAGATTCGACACCTAGGACTTCCGGAATAGCCCGTTTTCGACTTTTTTGTGCTATGCAAGGCCGCGCGGCGCGTCTTCGCAATCTACGGCAGTCCTTATGGTTGACGACTCGACAACAAATCTGTTTTGCACCCAAATTTTATGATAAAGTGGCATTTTGGTAGAAACTCTTGAGATGCTTTGATCAGTTAGAATCACAAAAGACGTATTTGGAACCTTGTTTTTCAAGGATAAAGAACGGCTTTGCGTCGAAACTTTGTTATACGTAAGCCTTCTTCGAAATAAAAGATACGCCATCAGCGGAAAACCCTTTAAATGCCCTTTTTCAGCAAGAAGCAAGCAGAATTTTCAAAATTACAGTCCAACATGCTTTGCTGAGTTTGCCGTACAAGCTTTTCACAGAGATTATCATTGCTTGCATATCAAGCACAGGTTAAAGCTTATTTCACAAACAATCTTTATTTCGCAAGGCTCAGCTGCATGGACCACAGACAAATGGTTTCGAGGTCATAAAAATGTGGTGGAAGTAACAGTTCCCCTTACTTCCGTCGACCATGAAAAGGCCTTCGCAGTTTGATGCGCAGCCGTAGCGCATGATAAAAGCAGTGGACTTATTGCAGGTTGAAGAATCAGAAATTTATTGGATTTTTTGAACTCCTTTCTGTCTTCCTTTTCAGAGCACCCTCCTTTCCCTTTCGCTTATTCCCTGCAGGACGACTGTTAAAACTTATCTCCATAAACGTATCGATCGATATTCTGATGTTCTTGTTACCAACTTTTGCTACCCCATCTCTTAGCCTTGCCACACTTCCACCTTATATGGAGTTCTGTTCGGTACAAAATTTTGACTTTCTGCTTCTGCCTTCTTTGAAATGCAGTAGGTTTGTGTATACAGTCTAGCAGATTTCCCGCTCAATATAGTGCGCTTGCACAGAAGGTGAAATGCGGTAAAATTTGCGCGTGAAGATATAGCTTCGACTGTGACGCCGGCCAATTGCGCGCGCAAAATGCAGGCAGTAGTGGCGTGGCTATTTGTTCACGCGCAAAATTCACCGCACTTTCACAGCACTTATCTTCCGTGCAAGCACACTATCTTATGTGGGAAATCTACTCGACTGTACCTAGCGTGGACCATCCTAGTCTTGGAGGTTCTCGAAGCTAATTCCTCTCTTAGGTAGGCAGTTCCCTAGTGCTTCATCTGTTTTTTATAGCCATCGAAGTCTACTTGTTGGTCGAGCGCCTCTTATTACCATGGTGAAGTATGACAGCGAACTTTTCATGACTAAGATCTTTTGGCGCACTTCAAGCGCATAAGAAATAAGAAAATTTTGTCGGACTTCGTAGTAGGGATATAAGAAAAATGTCCTCGAACTTGCGACGGAAGCGAAACATCGATGGGCGGATCACATCTTAAGAATAACAAACGACAGGTGGACGCTGAGAACGCCAAAGCGGATTCCAAAGGACAACTCCTGAGGAAGGCAAACAATGAGAAGGCAGACGTCCCGTCGTGATGTGAAAAATGATGTATTTGCTGAAGAATTAGCAACTTTTGCATCTGAAACCAGTAGACACAACCCTCGAAAACCAGCTAGAAGATTATGGATGTCAGAGGCGAGTGGCAGGGACAAATGGCGCCTCCTGTCTTATGTCCTTGGGCCAGCACGCTATGTACGATAGGTCATCCGAGTATCTATAAAGCATCTTATGCTACTGTAGCAGAAAGTAAAAGATAGCCTTGCGTTAAATCCAGTAACTTTGCTTCAAGAAATGCTTTGACAGACTTCCGGTTTTTCAGTGACTTCGACGGCAGTTTCCATTCTAATCAACTATCTCACTTAAAAATTCGTCCTATCATAGGCCACGAACAGAGATGGAAAAAACGTTTTTAGCAATCTTCGCGAATGTTCAAAAACGTGATTTATTGCAAAAATAGGAAATAAAGGATACTGCATTGCTTCAACAAATATGAAGAGTATTTGATTTCCAAATAACCGCTGAATCTGGTCATCACCGGTGAAGGAGCGTATTTTCCCGCTCCATAACGGAAAAAGACAATCAGACTTATCGAAGACGAACAGAATGACACAATCAGGACTCAAGGAAATGTCTGATTTAAGTGGTCTTGTCAGCTCAATCACGCCGTATACTTCGTTGTTGTTTGCCTTTTCATAACAATAATCGATCAGGAATATTTACAGGTGACTCTGCGTTATATATCGCCCAACAGCCTGGGCCTTATTAAATTATTAATTTCGGTGACACACAAATTTTCTATAAAGATTCCACGGAACGAAGATGGTATTGCCAAAAAATACTAAAGCATAGCAAATTTGCCTAGACATCAACAGCGAAGACGATGACTCATGAAGTGATGAGGCTCCTTGGAATCACGTAGTCCATCAACGTTATCAGAGTGTTCATTCCAGTCGGTAGTTCACTCTAAGGATTATTTTTCTTGACAAATCAGTCCTTATAAAATACAAGATCTGATCTTACCGCATTCTGACAATCCTCGAATAGCCAGGAGTACCATCTTCGCATAGTTTCCACATACTAAAGCAGAATATTTGCTCATTGGTTTCAAGGCACTACCACTCACCGAAAAGAAAGTATTTTGAAGAGAATAGCTTTCAATAATGTTGTGGCATGAAGCATATATGCCATTGACAATTATCTGAATAACTTTTCCTTTCTTTGCTTCATCTCCAATTGTAAAAGCAGAAATACCTTTCCATTCGATGTCATTGGTGAATAAATCCCAGTCTCGTTTACTTTAGACACTTTTTTCACTTGCGCAGTGATTATTCTTTCCTCCTGAATAACGGGGTTTACAAAAATATCTTTCGGAGGCGGAATTTTTTTTTTGAACGAGAAAAAGATACAATGTAAATTCGCAAGCTGCTCCGTGTCTTACCTTCGTTACTAGATACAAACAGTCTCCCTCGGAAACCTCCTCAGCAAATATTGCGCGATCAGACAAATCTTTGGAAATAATCTAAATTAGTGTTCAACTAGCTCGATCACGATTCAAAATAAGGCAAGCTGTAGGAAACTTTACGTCTTTGCCTATATTCGTGCACGTTGCTTTGTAAATGAAGTGTTTTGCTGTTATTTTTAGCACAGTGCCATCTGAGAGTTCGATCCTAAAGACTACCATTATTGGTGGATGTGCACACGCAAAAAATTGAGTTGTTACTTATGGAATTCTGCTGACTGCGTAGGTACTCTATGTAGCCAAAAGGACACCGGAGCATATTGTATCTGTAAACCAGTTGTAGTTTATGTTGGTGCATGTGCAGAACAACATACCTCGGCTCCGTTCAGCGTTTGCACCCAATCTTCCACTTGTAGTTCATCTAGACGCTTCTTGCTTCCATCAATGAGGTGAACCTCAAAATAACAAAAAATGAGATCAACATTCCACAAACAAGACGCTCGGGTTCGTGAAAATTTGGTTTTTAGAATATCAAATGTTTGTATCCGAAATGCCTTCTTGGCCTAGTATAATAGTGAATTTAACGTGGGCCGCAAATCGTTTCGCCACCAAGGAGTTTTGCGATCGCATAAACCGGATCTGCACTAAGATCGGATCTTAGGACTGCCATCTCCACATATAATCTCATCCCATGCTTATATTTGCAGTGATGAACATTGCCAGATGTAAACATTTACCGTGGTGTCAGCAGTAAAGCAGTAGTAGCTTCCTGGAGATGAGTATGCCGGAGCTGCGGGTGCTACCGGAGGCACCGGTGCCTGGCCTACTGCAGGATAGTAAATGGGCTCAGCCTAAATGGAGGTGTTGAGCATATATGTGACAAGCATACACATACTATAAACTGCTGCTGTGGGAAGAAAGGCTGTTGTGGAACAGGAGGTTCTTGTGGGACTTGTGGTGGAGTAACCGGTTGTTGCGGAACTGGTGATGTCTGAAATCTAAGCTGTCAAAAGAGATGTCCTAAAGAACAGAGGTGAACCTACATCAGTGGCGGGAGCACTTGTTGTAATGTCAATCTCAATTCCATCCTGAGCAACTTCTTCTTCAACCACAACATTTTCTCCTTCATCAAATGGCCCTTCGATTCCCTATGTTCATCCGTGTATATCCTCTCAAAGTAGTTTTCTAATCAAAAAACTTACTGTTATTGGAAGATTCGGTGTGTTAATAGTATCGCCTGCGGGAAATATAGACGCCTGTAAAAGATGTGAAATTAAAACTAACGCCACATATCTCTGTTCTAATAACCTGGAATGCTTTATGATGAAGCGGTGCTCGTCTAAATTCTTGCACATCCTGCACTTTGGGTGAACCAACCCCTAAATCACAGCATTATCATGCAATGACGACTAGTAGCCTTTCCGGCATCAGTCTTACAATGCTGCTTCGCTTGTACAGGTGAAAGACACATGAAGCGGCGAATGTTAACCTCGTAAGTTACGTATCCATCAAGACTGAGAGTCTTTACGATATTGCTGATATAGTCGAATGCATATTGAGTGCCATTTTTTGACACCTGAACATGCATTAATTTTTGCCATCCACGTTTACTCTGTTTGATAATACCTCTCCTCCAACAACAATTTGCCCTCTTTTCACTATCGCGACTCCGCGGTCTGTCGACAGGCGCAGAGGTTCGAATTTGCAACATTGCATAACAAGCCTGAAAGAAACTTTTCATTACACTGGACCCAATTCAGATATCAGTCGTACGGAAAAGCGGATATATTCAGAAGAGGAGCAATTCCGCCAGCCCACTGATTATCGCCATCACAAGAATGAGATTGGAATGTTGGTTCGCATTCCTAGAATGGGTAACATGGAAAAAACATGAGCACTTGTACATTAGGGTACTAGATGACACTTCTTGATTTTATGAGATAAACCCTAACACTGATCACATTTTAAAGACTTTTATTTTTTCCCTTGTTTTAATCCAGCGTGAGGAATGCAAATAGATAACTCACCGCCACTTGCTGATGAAAGTAACGCGGATCTTGGTTGTGATAGGGTGGAACAGATATATCATCCTTCCTCATAAAGCCGTCAGGGAATTTTCTGATTCTAAATGTTTCCTAGATTGAGTGACTCTATAAAAATTAACGCGCATCGTTTGTAAAGCATTCCCAACGTTTTATGCTAAGATGCAACCTCATATATATACAAGAACCAGCTACTAACATATAATGAAGAGCTGTCTAGAATTGCAGAAACACTCGAAACAATACTGCAATTATACAGCGAAATTTTTTTGTATAACGATTTGTTTTCTTATGGTGACACTTGGCTCAGACCAAGCAGCGCAAAGATGAAGAGATTAGTGGAGGTTATCTGTCTTCAAAAGATGGAAATATTTTCACTTGAATTGCTTCTGTGCACTTGTGGCACTGCTGCTCTAATAAGGAAAGCTACACAACTTAGCTCGGCTTTCTGGCAAGGGAGATTATATTCTGAATCAGCTTCAAACGCTGATTCCAAATATGCTATTCCTAGCTGCGGCGCACCATTCCGAAGTGAGTTATGGGCTTTTCCCTGCGCAAAATTGGCAGACTACAGAACATGGGAAGACTGCCTGTAGGTGAAAATATGCAAGACAAAGATGCTGAGATATCTGATAGATTCAATCTTTCCTCACTAAAAGGAAGCTTCACGCAAGCGTATCAACCAGGGCTCAGCACAGCTGGCACCGGGTCAAGCTGGATATCGTATTTAGGGCGGAAAGCAAAGGGGATATCGTTTTTACAGGGGCCGAGGCGGAGAACTGCCGCAAAAATGCCGCCGGCATGCCACCGGCATGCCATTGGCAAGCTGTCCATCAACAAACAAAGGCGTTGTTTTCAGCCAAAACGCAATAGTATGACACCAAATTTGGTGTGTGCATGCGCGTTGGTGGACCGAAACTACGGGCCAAAAATTTATGAAAACTTATGTGAATGAAAGCTGTGCCGAACTTTTTTCTGAATTAGCTGGCACCGTGCCAGCTGGGTGCCAGCTGAGCTGGCACCGACACTTTGCTCACATAAGTTTTCATACTTTCTTACATAAAATGTATCTACACTGTAAAAGATTACATACGGAGAAGAAACAGTTTCATAATGTTCTCTTTTCAGCATTTTATAGCAATTTGAAAACCACTCAGTCCGCTCCGCAGTCGAAAAATCGGCTTTTTCTGCTTCTCAAAATATGATTCGACCACTTAAAAAGCTCAAAAAGCTGTGAAAAGTTCTTTCATGAAATCAGAAATGCATGAAAACACTACTACATTTTTTACATAATATAAAAGTGATGACGGGTTTTCAAAACAGGTCAAAAGGAACTTCGTACGAAATTTTCAATATCAAACGGGACTTCGTTTTGAAATTTCCCTGGTGCCAGCTCGTGCCGAGCCCTGGTATCAACACTTGGATGATGACAATGTGATGCCAATTAGTCGATGAGTATGCCAATTCGCACAGAAAAAATGTAATAACTCGCTCCAGATTGAAGTGCCGCAGCTAGGATTAGCACATTTGGAATCAGCGTTTGAAGCTGATTCAGAATATATAAGACTCTTCCCAAAAGGCTGAGCTAAGTTAGGGCATTCCCTGTAAATTTAACGGTTTGACTTTTTCCGAAATAGTTGAGCATTACGAAATTTGTTGGAGTGCAATTTTCAGAAATCAAATCCACTTCACCAACCTATAGAATTCTCCGTCGTCTGTAGCCGGCTGACCGCTCGCGTTCCAGCCGAAACATACCGGTCGTGCGCAACCAAGTACAGGCTGGCCATCAGAAAGGGCCTAGTTGAAGGAAAACATTTGAGCGAATAATCCTAGATATTGACTAAAGATACTCACTTCAAAACTGTAGGGAATTGCTGAAGAACCGCAGAATGAGGCGTGAATAAGATCAACTGCCAGCGTTAGAAGAGCAATACTTTTCATAATCTAAAGCAATGGTTGGAAACTGCTCAAAGTTCATTTAACTTCGAGGGTGGAAAGATTACGGCGGTGATTTAAGTGAAACTTGTCCGAGAAAAGCGGGGTGGTATCTCTCGACCAGCAAGGTTTCTGATTTGCGACAGAACGGGGTGACATCGTCTCCTTATATACATTGCCGAGGCATACTATTGTCTGCGCACCCGAAAACTGAACATTCACATATCGCGCGGATTTATGCACTCTCTCGAACGCTAATTTCGCGTCGATTTGATCTTTGTGGACGCGGGAGAGTAGGGGGAACTGTTTATAACAACTTCATGACGATTTTTCAGAGATACAGCGGGAATGGACGGCAACTCTTGGGAACTCGGAAAACGTGGAGAGTTCGCTTCGACAGCTTCTGAGAGCATAAATCAGTTTATCCTCAGAGTTTCATAGTGTAAGAGGGAACGACATACGGTGGCATATGCAGATGTTGACATATTTCTGCAACAGCATAGCTAGAAACGATCTGATAACTGTTGCCAACCTATATATAACAGATACATGAGGCTGTAGGGAGAAATCTCGGAACCCCCAGCTGCAGAGCGGTACGCTCACCCACAGATCATCATGCACCAACCTCTGCTGTTTATTCTGTGTCTTCATGCATTGTGTCTAATAAATCGTGTTATTACCACTTTGAATTGCCTACTAGTAAAGAGAATATCTATTGGGCCCAGATCTTACTGGTAGCAGCGAGTGGAAGCAGCAAGTTGGATGCGAAGTGAGTGTATTTTTTGAAATTTGATATCTTTAGCTCCGCAGTGGGCAACGAACGATCTTATAAACTTCTTTATGCTAAATTTTCTCAATTTTACGAGACTTGAACAACAAAAATCAGCACTTGTGCTTTTTGCAATAGTTTAAGCAAAAATACACGTAGAACTAGAATCTCTTCCTCCATCTCTCTCTTAATTTCTCTTTAATAGTGAATTAGTCATCTACGATCTTATTTGACTTTCTTCTGGGCGTCTTTTTCGTTCGTTTCTAAAAAACGTCTCGAGAATGTTTGAATATTGCATGCACGAGTATTTTTGACTGGTGAATTGAAATTTTGGACTGGGTGTTGGAATGAATCATCGCGCGTGTAGTCTTTGTCTCATGAGTAGCAGCCGACAAGGCGTTAAACTGTTGAAGTGATGATCGATCAAGTGTAGGAAAAGAAAAGAAAGCTAGTAGAAAAGCTGCAGCTATGAAGCATTTGTGAAATGGGGTAATTAGTCTGTATGCGTTGCAGAATCACCGGTGATAGAGTACTGGAGCGTTCGTAGATTTAGAACAGGTAGTTAGGTTTTGGTGCATTGTGAGTATGCAATTACAGATCTCCTTATTCGTCGCGACTAGAGGCGCACGTAGCGCTTATGTGTAAGGCGCCGCGAGGCAACAGCGGGCGCCGCGGCTCGATGTTCATGTTCGCGATATGATTGCATTCTCAGATATAGCGCTTGGGAAAGTTGCGAAATATAAACATAGAGAAAAATTATGTTTTTTCTCATGCGATAGACACAAGATAAGGTTCGGGGAAAATCGTCTTCATGGATATGATTACATATTTTTCTTATCTGATAACGGACTCGTATATATACATGGCAGTGTTAGAAGAAGACACATTTCATATTCTTCGTCTTCCATCGTACTCCTCTTGCGCTCTTTCCTCGAATGGCACCTCCGGTGACTCGCTCTCTTGCCCATTCGGTTGATACAGGGGTCGTAGTTACCCAAACACAGAGCTTACCTACTACCGGACCCGTAGAGGACACCGATACAGATATAACAACTCCGGATAAAATGATGGCCACTTTTAGAGCTACGCTAGGTAACGTGGGGGATTCAGACGTGGTGCATGGTCGAGATGCCAAAGCTCTTAGGGATGCAACATCCGACGTCGTTGCTAATATGTGGTACGATACGCACTACAACACCTCACAGCTAGTACAGCGCTTTATTAACAATGGTGCGGCGCTTCTCAAGGGGATTACGGAGTTGGTGCCATTGACACTCGTATAAGCGCCTTGCTTCAATTAGCGGTCTGCAACTCGGAGGGACACCACATTTGTTTATCGACATATACGGGATGCGGGGACACGTTGCAGTTCAACACTTGGCTCCGCCGATTAAAGATATTATGCGGACCCGTCAAGGGACGTTGTCCTCAGAACACAAAGCTAACAACCTTATAACGTACTTAGACGGTATGGCACGTGAAAAAGTCGAGGAACTTTCGCACATCGAGCGCCAGGACTACGATAAAATAGTCGCGCACACCTAGCTAAGCACCTTGACACTCCGCAGCAGCGTTATATGGCGCGACAGACTTTGTTGGCATGCCATCAAGGAATAGGGGAATCGGTAGTAGCTTTCGCCAATAGACTTGTGAATTTAGTACGGGAGGCTACAGCGGGACAAGGGCAGGTAGCGCAGCAAGAGCGCACTTTGGAAGAGTTTGTAGAGCGACTGTATAATATATAATATCCGTCAACAGGTCCAGCTAGAGGGGCCAGAGACGTTCCAACGTGCACTAGATAAGGCGCGAACAGTAGAACGGCTACTCGCGGAAGCAGCCCACTCTTCTTTGCGAAAATTCTCAAATCTTATCTTTGCAACAGTCTCCGCTTTTGTTATTCGTTTGTGCACTCGAATCCAATGTTCCGGAAAAAGATGAATAAACTTTGTCAAAACAAACTCCTAGAAAGTCCCTTCAGGACTTTTGGGTAAATTGGGGAGGTGTAAGAGGGGACGATATCCCACGGTGGCATATGCAGATGTTGACATATTTCTGCAACAGCATAGCTGGAAACGATCTGATAACTTCTGCCAACCTATATATAACAGATACATGAGGCTGTAGGGAGAGATCACGGAACCCCCAGCTGCAGAGCGGTACGCTCACCCACAGATCATCATGCACCAACCTCTGCTGTTTATTCTGTGTCTTCATGCATTGTGTCTAATAAATCATGAATACCACTTTGTATCGCCTACTAGTAAAGAGAATATCTATTGGGCCCAGATCTTACTATGGGACAACATCCATTGCGCTGCTGCGATTTTATGCAACATATTTTTCTTGTGCTGTTTGGAAACTTATTAAACGTGAGCTATGTCACTATAATTAGTGGACGATCTAACAAGGGAAGGATGGCTAGTCGTTGGCCTCCCGAGATGAGATGTATACAGTGCTGGCCAAAACTATAGATACCCTAGAAAGTGCCGTAGCTCATCCGCTTCTCATAGAATTGCGAAACTTTTGAAATTCACTTACAAGGGCTATAAAAATGTGCAAATGACTTGTTTATTCTCGTGAATAAGTAAAATAATTTTTAAAATTTTAAAAAATCCAAATTAGCCTTGTAAAAAAATTTTATTCAGGAGGGTGGCTGAAGTCACGTCCCCTTTTCTAAGATTGCAGGGGTTATGGACCCGCAGGAATTCTGAGAAGCACCCGAAAAAATTTTTTCGGGTATTGTAGTTCTTTGTGACTCACATGAGCATTGCAATTAGAACCAGAAATAACTTCAAGGCTTGTTGCAAATAAGTTTTTGCAGGACAATTCCTCAATTAGCCTGCATGCCAAAGTCTGCAGAGATCTGGGCCGATAGTAATCTACCCTACCTGATGGCATCATAGATGCCGGCAAGTTGGCACACATCGCGGAAAGATGCCAACTCCGCCGGCAGCTCGCGGAGTGGTTGTAGGTTTCAATAATCCTATGTAACCTTGGCACGCAATCATTTCGCACATTAAGTTTTGATGACGCAGACAGCCGCAAAATGCTACCTTGCGCGCGGTCGAACCTATGTGCGTTAGCTTGAAGTGCCACCACGTTAACCATTCGACCATTCGGTCAGCCATTGCCTTTTGCACCAGCAATAGGAGGAACGCACTGGTGAATGGCTGCCTATAAAAGGGATCGATACATTGCGTGAGAGACTTTGACCTGAAAGAACAGCTGATTGATATGAGCGAGAGAGGAGCGAAATTGGTGCAAACTGAGATTTATAAGGGATTGCCAAAACAGTTCGTGTTCTATATGATTCTAAGGCATTAGTGGATTTTTTCTCTGTAAGAAAATCGTCATTTTAAAAAAGAAAAACCCATATAATGAGAAAAATAATAGTTTTTTTTATGAAAAGTAGAATTTTTGATTTTTTCGCCTGACGTAAATTGTGTGATATCGCCGCAATTCGCAAACTCGCAGACGCCGTCGGCAAAGGTGCCACCACCTCGACGTGGTAGGGGCACGTCGAGATGCCGGCAGCTCGCTCTCTCAAAAGAGCACGCTATTTCCCGTGCTCTCTGACCTGCCGGCAGCTGCCATCTCGCGGATTCCGGCAACCTGCCGGCAGGTTGCCGGCAACTGACATCGCGAAGTTGCCGGCAGCTCCTCCTGGAATTCCAGATATTTTACTAAAGGAGGAGTTCTGGAGCCGCAGATTTTTATGAAGTTTTCTACAGAGTCGAGGCGGCAACTTTATCGAGAAAATTTTTTGAAAATAGGCCTGAAACGGCCTAAATTTCGGTTCCTAGTTTCTGGCCACCTCGCGGAAAGGTGCCAGCAACCTGCCGACGAGACCTGCCGCCAGGTCGGGGGGATTACTACCGGCCCTGACCACTGCATACGGACTCTCATACATACAAACAATGTCATTACCCCACCTCACGCTCATGAGAGCATTGCAGAAAGAGTTTGAAGGCATAATTGAGTGCAGGCCTGCTGTTAGGTCTATGTCGGGTACGCTTTGAATACAAAACTCAGATTTTTTTCTAGTGCTTACATCGCTAAGCATCTATAAGATGGATAGAGCCCTATCGCTTCTAAAGCAGTTGGAAAAAAATTGCGGAATCTCCTATAAAAACTCATTCTCGGGAAGAAATTACTCATGAAAGTATTTTTAAGTGAAAAAAAGCAGATAAATGTTTCTTATAAAGGTATGACACAGCTGGACTAAAGCCACTGTTTTGACTTTTGACTATGTCTAAGCAGAAAAGACTTTGAAAACGAGAATTACTTTAGTCTAAAGAAACTTCAGGTGGATCGATAGTTTTGGCCAGCCTTTGAGCCTGCTTTTTTCAAAATTTCTAATTTTTTCCTACATAATTAAACGAAAGCGTGATCCGGTCTGGTTACTGATGTTAGCCTGATGAACACACAGCTATACCAAATTTCAGATCAATTCGTTGAGAAGCAGATGAGCTACGGCAGTTTTCAGGGTGGGTCTATAGTTTTGGCCAGCACTGTATGTACATGTTGCGATTTTGATCGTTTTCCTGGGTGTATGTCAAGAGGCGCGATTTTTATTACCAGCTGAACAGCAAATAGCATATATTTAGTGTTTTATGAGGTTCTGGGAGTATTTTAGAGTTTAGGGGAGATATATCAGATGGTTGCACGAGTTGTCCATTCTTACTATCTCAAAAGCGTTTCAAAATGAAAATGTTGAAGGTCAAAAACTCATAAAAATGCAATTAATAACAAATTTGTATTTATTTTGGTCGGATTTTCAGCGAAAGCCTTCAAAATCAGCAAGTGGTAAATCTAGATGACTAGTAAGCCAATGTATTTTGTCTGTGCTTTTTGAAGACTTGCGTAGCCCTAAACTTGAGTATTGAATTGGTGACAGCCAGAGAAATCGCGCCTCTTGACCGTCTCCCCGTTTTCCTCTACCAGTATTGTCCAAGAAAACAACAAGGCTGGGTGTTGTGCTATGGCACCGTTACCCCTAGCAATGCAGTTTCAATTAAAACTCCTAGCAGAATGTCTAATTGTGTACCGCCCATGAAGTGAGCTCAAAGACACAACCAGCTCTCAGTCTTAGTGCTAAAATGTGTATTCGTACTAAATATTGAGATCTACATGTCTCTCGTTGAAAATGGAGCGGCACAACATCTTACTCCAGGTGGATCAGTTAAAATTGCTGTACACAGCACACAAGGATTACAAGTAAGTATTAAAAAAGTAACTTCAAAAAACTCTAATGTATGCATGAATAGCATCATTAACGACTAAAAGTGATAAAAATTATGCGAGTACAACAAATATATGTGCCGGTGCCTAAAACAGAAAGTGCATCCAATCAGACTGCAAAAACTTTACTAAGTTTCGCCTCTATTTTTGAACTGTCATATTCTAAATTCCAGAAGCTCCTATCACAATTTATTTGCGGGTTTCGTATTAGCTCGGGTACAGCTGCTAGAGCAAAATGTTATAATTTGTTTGAATAAAAGCCGAGGAGATATCGTATAAACCGCCCATACATGCACGCTCTCAAACATCTACAGCTTACGAGCAAGCTGAGACATGGCTTTAACTTGCTTGTCCAAAATGATGTTCTCCTGTTCTAGAATTCTGAATTGTGCGTCAAAATAATGGCCTGTCTCAAGTTAACAGTCTACGTTAGACACAGAAATTAGGTGTGTAGTCGTGATACTAGAGAGAGTTTGGGAAAAACCACAAAACGACTTACCTATATTCATACATATTTAATTGTTGGCTTAGCCACATTTGTATCTTCGCCCAAAAAAGAGGTTCTAAATCTAATAAAAAGGGAATCTACTTTTGGCAGACATAATGTATGGAGTAAGAGTGCATTAATAATCCATTTTGTTTGGCACAGCGACTGCCTCAATCGATTTATTGATTTTTTTTACCAGTTTTTGCTCAAAAATTTTCATATTTGTCCAAAAAAGTAGAAGGAGTCATGGAGTCCACATTTGGTAGACATAATGTATGGTGTGACAGGAGGGGGGCGTATGTCAATGATCCATTCGAGACACACCGATTGCTGTCGTTTTTTGCGGTTGCAGTTTTTGCTTAGCAATTTTTACGACCGCCTAAAACGATAAAAAGAATTATGAGTTCTCAAGCAAAATTTGCGGAAAGCTCCGGGTGTCAAAGAGTTTCTTTTTTACCAAAACCCATCGATTGATGCTCTCTATTTTTGGTTTTTGGATTACATTGGAAAGATAAAAATTAGTAGAAGCTGTAGGTGAGCGCTATCACAAACAAAATATATTACTCCAATTAACAATTTTCCATCGACATTGATTACTTGTATGTTACATTTCCAAAAGCTAGGTGATTCGACTACGCATTAGCCTGTTTTGAAGGAGTTCATTACAATCTAAGTTCTTCAAACAAACAAAAAACATGACCACCACAACATTTTACTGAAAGTCAACGTCCTAATACGTTGGCCATACCGTTTTGTTCCTTCCGCCAATCTCACCTCTCGAACCTCTTTTAATTGCTTCCAGCAATATCGTAATGCCGTCATTCACCTCGTACAGCAGCGGACACATCGCAGCTATTCTGTTGTTGTTTGCATACTATCCATTGCTTAGATAGTCATAGTAAAATATGACAAAGCCGATAATATGATTTCAATCTTCCTCTATCTATATTGGTTATGAATCAAAGCATTTTGTGCAAACCCGCAAATTCAGTGGTAAATTCTCATACTGTCGCAGTACAGAGTAAATTGAAAGGTGTACGAGTCAGCGAAGCTGCGGCCTAGCGGCAGTGGGCGGCTTGTTATATTAGCTGGCTTAGCCGGCTCCGCCCGGCTCTGTCAAAACACTTTGATAAAACTCTCATCCTATCCCTGCACAGCCTTTCCCTGTGAACACATCCCATACCAACTCCCTATTCCCGCTGTGTTAGTTATCAGCATGCCCACTTATCCCTGTGCGAATTCCCAGCCCCGCAGCTCGAAATTTACAAAAATCGATACAATCGGTAAAAGTAGCGGATAATTCTAGAAACTGTTTTTGTATTCGTAATCAGCATGCTTGATTACCCCCCCCCCCCTCTGTGCCAACTCTCAGCCCTGTAGCTCAAACTTCTCAGACAGCGGATAGGACCCCTCCGCCGGAGAAATGGCAGGGTCGCGGCGTTTCCCCAGCGGTGGGTCTCCCATTTGTCCGGCGGAGCCCTCCCATTTCTCCGGCGGAGACCTCCCGATATCGCTTCTTTGAACCACACCGATGATTCATAAATCTGCCCTCGATCGCGTGCAAGACATCCGAGACGTAGATAACCTTTGCAATATGATGCACTAGAATGAGTGCACAGAATGTTAATTTGAACAAACTTACAATCCGTGTAATTTTCTTCTTCTCTCAAAATGCCTTTGTATAAAACTTCAGCGTCTTCGAACAAGCACAAGTGTTCCAAACATCTAGCGAGGTTGTATCTCATAGTGATGACATAGGAAGAAAGTTTCGAATCGCACAGATCTCCCTCCAAATCTTCCTGTAACGATCGAAGAGAATGAGCGAAGCTAAGCACATGCAACTTACTTGGAGCTTAGCTTCCGCTGCTTCGAAGTACTCCTTCGCCCTTTCATAATTTTCCAAAGTCATGTGCAAGGCTCCGATATTGTTTAAGATAGCAGCTGGCGGATCAATTTGTAAACGATCTTCACTCGTTTTTATGAGATCACAAGCATTTTCATAGAGAGTGAGCGATTTCTAGAAGAGCCGGTTGTCAAAATTCGTAAAATGTAATTGATGATGTAAACTAACATGCGGATCAACTCCTTCCAAAAGCTGAGCAAGATCTATCAAAACTTCAACATCGTTTGGAGTTGCCTCTAAGACTTTTGTCAACATATCTCTTGCCTTGTCCTGTCTTTCAAGCCAAAAACGATATAGTGAGGATCTGCAACGTCTGATGAAAAGTCGATCGACTTGGTAAGCATACGTACGAGAGAGATAGCAATAAACGGATAATTTAGACGATACTTTCATCACAACAACACTAGATAGTTGCGCAACTAACCTCATTGTTTCGAAAATCCAGAATTAATCACAAAAACCACTCCATCAATAGTCTACGATGTCTCAGCAAGTCGGAAAGAGCCAAACACTGAAGGTGATTGAGTGCAACCGCACGAAAATTTGAAACATAAACCTGAAAACGAGGAACTTACAACAACATAAAGGCCAACGCGACGAAGAGCAACGCGGAAAAGAAAAAAAAACGGTAAAGAAACGCGCAAAAACAACAAAATCAAAGAAACGGCGACTAAAATATGGACAAAGAGCGTAAACAGAGGACTCATCACCGTGGAGTTAGACGTTTGCTTGCTACGCGCCAAATCGATACGCAGCCTGCTCCGGATACCTCCCATTTTCTGCTCCGGATACCTCCCATTTTCTGCTCCGGATACCTCCCATTTTCTGCTCCGGATACCTCCCATTTTCTGCTCCGGATACCTCCCATTTTCTGCTCCGGAGGCCTCCCATTTCTGCTCCGGACCCCTCCCATTTTCTCCGGCGCGGCTCTTCCAAATTTGGCGGACTCGCGCCGCGCAAATTTCTCCGGCGCGGAGTCCGCCAAATCTGGCAGAGTCGCGCCGGAGAAATGGCGGACCTTTGCAGCAGGGCCGGAGAAGCCTCCCACTTGCCTGCCAGTGATGTCACCGCGATGGACCGCCCATTTGCCCCTCTCTCATTGGTCAACTGGGTCCGGCGCGACTCTGGCAGTTTCGGACTGTCCGGCGGAGGGGTCCCGTCGATTGTCTGAGTTTGCAAAAAATCGATAAAATCGATAAAACTATCGGACGATTCTAAAAACTAAATTGTATTCGTAATCGGCATGCTCGATTACCCCCTGTGCCAACTCCTAGCCCCGTAGCTCGAACTTTGCAAACAAAATTGATGACATCGATGAAAGTAGCCTACGACACCCGCTTCGCCCCGAAATGTATGTGTTCCAAGTTGGGTCCGGATCGGTTGAAGAATGGATCTTTCTGTTCGGAACATACGTACAGACAATACACAAACATACATTCAGCTCTATATTCAAGATTTATTGCACGCGAAGCGCGTCAATTACAAATCGAACGCACAATAATCATTCAGAGAGAAGAAAGGTCTGAGCACGAAGCAAACCTAAAATCACTACTATTGACAGAAAGTAAACTCAAATAACAGCCACACTCAAATTTAAAGTCAGCCAGGCCCGTAGTAGCCGGGAGTTAAGAGGCGCAATTTCTCCAGCTGTCACCAACTGAAAACTACAGTTTAGTGTTATGCGAGTCTTCAAAAATAACCCAATAAAGTGCATTACTTACTATCTGTCTGAGGTCACAAATTGCTGAGTCTGGTGGCTTTTGCTGGAAAACGAACCGAAATATATACAAATTTGTCGTTAACTGCATTTTCATGGGTTTTTGACCTTGAAAATTACTGTTTTGAATTGATTTCAAGACAGCAAGATTAAGCAACTCATGCAACTACCTAATATATCTTCTTCCAAAGTTCAATTACTTTTAGAATGTTACAAAACCCTTATATTCGTCATTTGGTGTCCATCTGGCAATAAAAATCGCGCCTCTTGACATATGCACATCCGAAGTAACCCGCTCAGTTCAGATGATCTGAGCTGACCTCCGGAAGCTAATTTTACGACCCCCTTTGCTCCAATGTTATGAGAATGCATGGTGAGCTGACAGCCGAGCGGCTGATTAGCTGCCGTACTGGGGAGACGGTCTTTTCGCACGGGCGGTCTCCAGCGCCACCCTGATTTTGACTTGTCTTAACACGTCACGCACGCCGCAAATCTTCTCTCCCCCTGTTTTGCTTAGCCAAAAGCCGCCGCAGGGTGTGTCGCGCGCGACGGTGGTCCTGTGCGGAAAGCATTACGGCCGTGCGAATCGCCCTACACCCGCCGTACTGCGCTGCCTACCGTAAGCGGAACTTACAGACAGTGTGTTTTTAACACGTTGACGACCGAGCCGTTTTTGACCACCTCAAAATGGACTGATGATCTACGGCTGCGGTTTGGACTGTTTAACAGCTACCGCAATGCCGTGTGTTCTATATGACAACCAGCCCACCAGTGTTATTACTGCATAGAAGTTACCTGAGAAATTTTCGTTTACACATGATAAATTGATGCACGAAAGTGCTACAAGGTGGTCAGGGCGTGCATACGCGCGGATACACACGGTCGTCAACGTGTTAAGGAGACAAAGAGAAAAAAATCTCGTAAATTGCTAGTGAATAATTTACGGGACAAGTTAGCTGGCATACTTCTGCGGACAGTGCAATTGCACAATTAGGGGGGCATACGGATCATAGATGCGATAAGTGGAGAAATTTCTCTGACCCCCTTCACTTTGGGGCCGGCATCTGGCTGACCCTTTTCACTTGAGGTTGAGACTAGAATCAAGGCATAACGAGGAATCAAACAGCTGTTACAATGCCACTTTTTGTTTAGAAGAACGCCAGCTGCTCTTTTTCTCAGACATCAAGACTGCAAGAGAGCATCGAATCAACAGTGTTTTGTTGAAAAAACGCATGCTCGAGACCCTCTGCGCGCTCAAAGTGGCGTTGCTAACGAAACATAATCAAAAATCAAAAAGATGTCCAATTCTTTGAATAATTAACATTGTATAAATGAATACGCATTGTCTCAAGAAACAGTTAAGCAAGAGTAGAAAATTTAGACTAGTTAGTGATGGATGCATGTTTGGTGACAAGAATCGTACCATATCTCCTTTCACTAGAAGAATAATAAATAATAAAAAAGCAGTTAGATTACTCGTTTCTCAAGCTTTCGAATCATATATAAAACAAAACTTCGAAAAAGACCTTCTTGGTTTGAGAAGATAATTACCCAGAATCGGCTGCTAGATAAAACTGCTCGTTTTTCGCTCCACAGAAACTAGGAAAAAAGAGACGGTCTACGTTGATTCCTCGTGTTCTTAGCTATCGAATGGTGTATTAAGTGTTGGTGCACAGAGCTTTCCCAGTCCAAAAAAGTCTTGCTCCGGCGACCCATGGAAAGCCGGAGCGGGGTGGAGCAACTCAGTATTGGATATCTTCACCTCGTTTTGAAAAGCCACAAGTCTTTTCATCCAACAACCTATATACCATCATAAAGCCCACGAAAAAGGATTCGACGTAGATCGTCTCTTTTTCTCTAGCTCCCCCTTACCTAGAGATACATGACATTTTAGCTAAAAACATGTGTGTTTTTGTCAAGAAATACCTGCGTAAAGAATGAAATGAATGTCTGATTGTCTAACAGTATCACAGAGCAAGATCTTGCCAGTAACGCAGACCGTCTCTTTTTTCTATCTTTGTCCTTTCTTTCAAAAATGAAGCACAAAATAATTACACGAAATTAGCTGGTAAGTAGGCGTATAAAATAGATCGTAACTCGCTTCACAAAGAAGTTATGAAAAAACAGACGGTCAATTTCGATTCATCATGATCTCAGCTTTCGAATGGTATAAAGTATGTTAGGGCTTTTTTGCTTCCCGGCTTTAGAAAGCACTTGCTCCGTGACCGATAAAAGCCAATACATTGGGGAAGCTGGGTGGAGCAAGCTAATAGTAAATATCTCCACCACATTTTCAAAACCTGGCAAGTTTTTTTGCCCAGCAATCTATATCTTATATATAAAGCTGAATGTCTGTTTGTCTGTCTGTCTGTATGTCTGTCTGTATGTCTGTCTGTATGTATGTGTGTACGTATGTTCCGAATAGAAAATTCCATTTCTGAACCGATCGGGACCAAACTTGGCACACATACACTTCGGGCCCCGGCGGGTGTCATAGGCTACTTTTCGTCATCGATCGATATCGATTTTATCGATTTTTATCGATTTTTTTGCTGAGTGCACCTACGGGGCTGGGAGTTGGCACAGGGGGGTAATCGAGCATGGGGATTCCGAATACAATATTGGTTTTCAGGGTTATCGATTACTTTTATCGATTTTATCGATTTTTTTGCAAAGTTTGAGCTACGGGGCTGGGAGTTGGCACAGGGGGGTAATCGAGCATGGGGATTCCGAATACAATATTGGTTTTCAGGATTATCGATTACTTTTATCGATTTTATCGATTTTTTTGCAAAGTTTGAGCTACGGGGCTGGGAGTTCGCACAGGGGGGTAATCGAGCATGGGGATTCCGAATACAATATTGGTTTTCGGGATTATCGATTACTTTTATCGATTTTATCGATTTTTTGCAAAGTTTGAGCTAGGGGGCTGGGAGTTGGCACAGGGGGGTAATCGAGCATGCTGATCATCCCCAAGGGGGTGATCAGCATGCTCGATTACACCCCTGTGCCAAATTCCAGCCCCCTAGCTCAAATTTTGCAAAATCGATAAAATCGATAGAAGTAATGGATAATTCCAAAAACTAATATTGTATTCGTAATCTGCATGCTCGATTACCCCCCTGTGCAAACTCCCAGCCCCGCAGGTCAAACTTTACGAAAAAATCGATAAAATCGATAAAAGTAATGGACGATCCTGAAAACTAATATTGTGTTCGTAATCGGCATGCTCGATTACCCTTCTGTGCAAAATCCCAGCATCGCATGTCAAAATTTACAAAAAATCGATAAAATCAATAAAAGTAACCGATAATTCTGAAAACTAATATTGTATTCGGAATCCCCATGCTCACTTCCCCCCTGTGCCAACTCCTAGCCCTGTAGGTGAACTCTGCGAAAAAATCGATAAAAATCGGTAAAATCGACATCGATCGATAACGAAAAGTGGACTATGACACGCGCCGGGGCCCGAAGTGTATGTGTGCCAAGTTTGGTCCGGATACGGCGGAGCCGGGTAAGCCAGCTAGTACCATTGTAAAGCTCAGGAAAGGGGATTTGACGTAGACCGTCGACTTCTTTCTAGCCCCCCTTTACCGAAGGATACACTGCATTTTATTCGAAATCATGTCCATTTTCAACAGCAGATTTCTGCCAAACGAAGACGTAATCACTGCTGGTTATCTATGTTACGGAGCAAGCCTTCATAACAGACGTAGACCGTCGACTTTCTCGTGGCATTCATTTGGAGAGCAGAAAGTGAGGACACAAAATCAGTTAATATATGAGGTACATAAAATGCCTCATAGCTCGCGGCATAGAAGACCTATAAAAAAGTCGAGGTCCACGTCGATTCTATATGTCTTCAGCTTTCGAATGTTATGTAACTTGTTGGGGCAGGGCATTTTGCTTTCAGGGCTCACTTACGCCCTTCACCTTACAAGGATGGGAGTAACAGAGACCCCCTTCACCTGGAGAGGGCCCGGCTCCCCCTATCGCACCTATGATACGGATAGGAAGCATCTTGAACGGCTGAATGCAGCAAGGATAGGATATCAAGTTTTTTCTATTTGTTTCCGGCTATGTCGACTAAATCTTCATTTTTCTTTCGAAAAATGCTCAAAGTAGATATTAATTTCTCTTTATCTCCTAAGACTTAGGATATACCCTGGATGTTAATGCTGAATTATTGTATCCGATTTATGTGCCTGTTTGCGCAGCAAATCCTTGACAGCGCCCACCATCGATTTTTTGGTAGTGACTGCTATCAAGGATTGCCGCGGCGATATAGCAAAAATGTTAACACTTGCTGGTCGCGAACCCCGGTGCTGCAGCGTGTATCACACTAGTCTCAGCCTTGACCACCCGCGCACAAAGTCCCAGCTGTTTCTTCTTTGAGAACATGCAGTTTCTATCATGCCTGCAAAATGATCCACATCCGGATCGATGGCTCGCTTGATACAGTGCTGAGGCGCCGTAAGACCAACTTAGGCCTGCCTCAGGGAAGATGCATTGATGGGGGTTCAATACGGGCCATTAACCTCCTTCTTCGCCAAATTTTCAATTTTTGAAGAAGAAATTCGAGATTCCCTTCACTTACATCCTGATCATACTAGAAATAACACTTGACTCAAAAACTAATCTCTCCGGATTTTGTCATCTCTTGACTTCAATCAACTTGTTCTCGCAGGTTGTACAAAAAAGGAGATTTCCGCTGTAGTTTCAGAAACTTCACTATATACCAGTATTCTCATGTGGTGCCTTGCGCCGAGTTCTGCTTCGAATTGTCAATCCGTTTTGTTTTGTAATTGGTCGGTGAATTGACCAAATTGTCAATTGTCTTGTTTTGTGAACTGGTCATGATCCATGACTTAACACATTGTTTTGCTCCTGTAGATTTTAACATCTCGAATTTATTCCAGGACGACAGTGTTTGGATTATCACAGCCAGCTTTACCATCTTCACCATGACCTCAGGTATGCGGTACCCTGCCCATACATTCCTTCCAAGATAATTCGAAGAGAAGTTTACTTGATGCGACAGCTTCGAATTATTCCAAAGCAAAAACAAATGAGTAACTAGTACCTGACAAGGTTTTCCTAATGGCATCAGGCCCTATATACCTCTATGTCATCAGAATTTCGTATACAGCCAATTTTTTCCAGTTCAGGTTTTGGCCTTCTCGAATCTGGCCGCGTTTCATCGAAAGACGAAGTCAATATCATGGTAAAAAATGTGGTAGACGTAATCTTTGGAGGTGCTTTCTGATGTTTACTTGCTTTGGGTATTCATTTCACTTCAGGGTTATCATACTGGATGTTTGGGTTTGGTTTCACCTTCGGTCAGCATCCGAACTACGAAAACTCGTTCATTGGAACTGCTGACTTCTTTTTTGATCCAGAAACTAGCGATGAGAATACGGTAGGCAATTGACTGATATTACTGATTCCACTCGATTAACTTCAGGAAGGTTGGACATACGCCTCCTTCATATATCAAATGAGTTTTGCCACCACAACTTCCGCCATTGTTTCTGGTAAAATTTTGCCTTACGAACTTGGCGACATTTTAAACACTTTGTGACTGTTTCAGCGGGTATGGCTGAAAGGGTACGTCTAAAAGCATATATTATCATTTCTTTCGTTATGACCCTCATACATTCGATTCCTGCACACTGGGTTTGGAGCGAAAATGGCGTCCTTTTCAGCCTTGGTGTAATTGACTCTGCTGGCTGCAGTGTTGTAAGGTTTCAGATCAGTGATATGTTCATAACACTTTCCTACTTGAGTAATAATAACAAGCATCTCAATGAGATTTGTTGCAGGTGCATCTTGTCGGGGGAATCTCAGGAATGATTGCAACCATTTACCTGAGACCAAGGCAAAAACGTTTCGGAAAAATGGGAAAGAAAAGAATGAGTAATCCAACCAATGCCATTTTGGGTAAGTCCTCCGTGTTCATTACAGGAAGCTTCCCTCTTTACAATTACTTACGCCGTCAGTTTCTGCTAGTGACAACCAGTTGCCGATGACATAAGTGCATTCCGCATATTGTGCATAAGGCATGAGTGCTTAATAAGCACATGTGTGTCATGTAAGTGGACTCGACAAGCATTCGGGTACAGAGAGGTACATCAGCGTTATACGATGATGGCGAAATACACTTATTACTTTTATCGTTGAATTTTTGTACTTTCTGGTGCTAAAGAAGTAAGCAAGACTTCCGCAGTACGTTTACGGGACTTCCGCGTTTGACCCGGCGGAGCTTTTCCAACTCCCTGCGGAATCTCCGGTAAAGTATCTGAGGTAGAAACTCAGCGCATCAGAAACTCAGCTAATTCAATTAGCTGTCGTGCAAAACAAAACAAATTAACATAGAAGCTTTCAAAGTTTCTGCAAGTTGAAGCTTGAATGTATTGAACATAATCTGTGCAATACGGCTTTGCAGAGTCAGCTTTTGAAATGTGCCGTTCTCCCATGCACTAAACGTGCTCATGAAGCACAGTTTTTCCCAAATAGATGATTGTTACAGACTACAAAAACTTCTTCTACAGGGTATCCCAATGTGTCAAGGCCGTCGCGGCTTGAGCAGTTGCGGCCGTCTCGCATGGGCCTTGCGCAGCGTTTGCAGACGTATCGAGACATTTTGCTAGGGTGAGGGAACCTAGGAACCCGAGCCTAATTAGCCCGTCTTGGGGAGTGCCTGCCGGATACAGTCATGTTTGCTATCTCCTATTGCTCCCTAGAACATGGCGACAATCTAAGCTCCGCCCCCATGAGAGCCTGTTTTGGAACCTGGCCAAGGAATCCTCGAAAAGTTAAGTTCAGGTCATTGAAACTGCTCTTAGCCAAAAACCTTCAAAATGGTCATACGAAGGTGAAATTAGGTTCAAACGAAAGAGAAGAACCGTGCCATCATTATAATAATTACTGATTGAAACAGATGGAACGCAGCATTTTTTGTTCAAAATGGTTTGTGTTAAATTCAGACAAAACACTGGGTAATCCTTTCCGAAATTGTCAAGACCTTCAAAAATGATTTATTTGGGTGCTAATTTCACATTAAAAGGACAAAAGATTAAGAAGTCATTTGAGAAATGACAGCTCAAGAACTTCTCAATAATAACGGTTCATTTGAGCGATGAAATTCAGGTGAAAGGCTTTAAAGAAATGACATTCAGTTATCATGACTATCATAGTTGCCTTAATAGAAAGATATAAGTAAACATTGAGGTTATTATCGATGGCGATTAGTATTTTTCATTTGCTACCATCTATAAGGGAAATCGAACTGTTCTTCCAACCTTTTCTTGCCATAGGTTGAGGTCATTGCTTACAGCATATTTGCCAAATGTTCTTCGCACATCAGAATCATCTGTCGTCGGCAGACCATCTTTGATATCAATAGTAAAGTTTTTAGTAAGCAATAATAATAGTGAAGTTTTTGAACTGCCATTCCTTGGATGTTTTCTAGTCTTTTACGCGAATATCAGTACACAAATAAACTATCACTATTGAAAATTTGAACTGTCATTTTTTGATTCATTTCTCAATCCTTTGCCCAAACTTTAGCACACAGATAAACTATTATTTCGATAATTTTCTAAATTGTCATTTCTTGAACGCTTTTCTGGTCTTTCGCCCGAATTTCAGCACTATCATTTCTTGAATGATTTTCTAGTCTTTCGCCCGAATATTACTTAAATGTACCACTGTTTTTAAGAGATTTTTGAGCTGTCACCTCTCAGGGGGGCAGGCGTTATGGAGCAAAGCTACGCCGCATTCCCCTGCGGTATACCCTGAGGGGCATTTGCGTTGCGTCGCCTTTAATTGCAGGCGCAGGAGTAGCGCTGCCCCTGACGGCGGATCAAGCCATTCCCTATCTATATCCTGATATGTTCAAATAAATAGATGAATCTTAGGGATAAATCAAAGGCTGACTATGGGATGATCCAATGCTGGATTTGGGTTAAAAGAGTTCAAGAGAAGGTGGAACACGAGTATTAACAGAGAAAAAGAATAGAAATTTTCCGTCAATGACTTTCCAAGAGAAATTAACTTCCTTATCTTTTACTTTTTCTTGTCTTGCTTTGCAGACACTTCTTCCTCATATAAAATATGAGGAAGAATATGAGGAATATAATATATCGTTTATCATCCACATTTTGATTTTTTTATCTATGAAGAATAAGGAGAATGGCTCAATCCGCTGGGTAGCGCTAGCTCCTCTGCAACTGCAATTAGGAGCGACGCAACGCAAAGGGTCCTCAGGATATACCGCAGGCGAATGCGGCGTAGCTTTGCTCCATAACGCCACGCCGCCCATCTCTCAAATTACTTCCCAGTCTTTCGTTTTTTAAATTGGAAATTAGCACTCAAATTGAGCATTTTTGGAAAGTTTGACAATTTCTTGAACAATTTCCCAGTGTTTTATCTAAATTTGGCTCTTGAATAAAATTATGAGCAAAAAAATGTTATATTCCATCAGCCTCAATCATTAAGTACGTTATAATAACGGCAAGGTTTTTCTCTTTCGTTTGAACCTAATTTCACCTTCCTACGACCATTTTGAAAGGTTTTTGGATAAAAGCCAGTTTCAGTGACCTGAAGTTCGATTGGGATTTTCAGGATCCCTTGGCTAGGTTCCAAAACAGGTTCTCAGGGGGCGGAGCCTAGATTGTCGTTATGCCCTAGGGAGCGATAGGAGATAGCGAGCATGGCTGTATCCTGCAGGCACTCCACGAATCGGGCTAATCAGGCTTGGGTCCCTAAGTTGCGTTCCCCATTTTGCTAGGCTTGGATTCGTGCGCCGCTGTGTTTTTGCCGTCTTCTCACTCATTTTCTTTGATTTTTGAAGATGAGGGGAGGGCTCCTATTTTTTGGACATAATCATTTTGCCTCCTCATTGCCCATTTCTTAGTTGTATTGAATTGCCACATTTGCAGTAGTTGCTTGCTTTATCAATCTAGTTTTGTACTTTTGCTGAGTGCTCGTATCTCTAAACTGTTTTCCCCCGCTTTTTTTTAAATTTCTGCTTCTCAAGTTTCATTCTATAGATTGTCCGTATAGGATCGGCTCTATCCGTCGATGCCATGATCTGCCGAACTTACAGTCAATCGCTTGAATCATATCACACTTTCTTGATTTCAATGGTTTCAGATCATTTCTTGTTTCCGTAGCTGACAAGGATAGCAAAACTGTTACGAACAAATTCATCAAGCAGGCCTCAACGATATGGTAAGGATCGTCGACATTCCGCTCGCAAACCTTAAACAGCAGCTAGTACGAAACCGGGAGTATGATCGTCTCTGTACAACTCCTAATTGTGCGATTTGTCCATACGGCAAGGAAGGAGACTGTATGGTATCAGGTGTTGTCTACCTTTCACGTGTACACATGTGGAGACACGTATGTTGGCGAGACGGGTCGCCGCCCCCTATGCACGCGCATCAAAGAACACTTAGATGGTCTCAGCAAGGGCAACGTAGCTACTCCGTTAGGCATGCATCGCAGGCTCAGCCATGATGACGCGGAGGTGGTGGTGCAGGTTCGAATCTTGGCGCGTGAACCCGAAATCCTAGCGGGCAAGACACTCGAAGCGTTTTGAATAGCCGCCCGAAATCCAAAAATCAACCGGAAGGACGAGTGCCTAGCCATTACTGACGAGCTGTCACCATATCAGAGCCTCTGTGGCTTTTGAATAATGGGGTCAGGTCAGAATCGGGTCACTAGTTAACTATAAAAGTAAAGAGTACAGCTTTTGGCATAAGTGGTCTGCACCCACCAAATTATCATTTGCTAAGGTGAGCACTGGCTTGATTGATTTTGGTTGAGGCTGTTGTTTTTCTTAGAGGGTTGGGCTCCTTTCTGTGGTCGACGAGGTGTTTGAACGGATAGTTTACTTATGTGTCTTCGACTTTTTCAGACTCTGAAAAAGGCGAGTTCGCCGAAACGTTAGTCTGCTAATCTGTGCGATAAAGTTCTGTACCAATCTTGGATTACGCTCAAGCAACTAAAATTTCTATGTTTTTGCTAAAAAGATGCTATGCTGTTCCCACATCGGTTGTATACTACAGACCAGTAAACGTACAGCTCTCTACAGGATTTAGTTCTCGAAAGATATTCGTTTTAGTATGTGACACCCGACTAAGCGAAGCTGAAATTCTGAGTCCAAACTTAAGATGGATTTGAACTGCTGCGAAAGCAAAAATAGCATTTTGTAGAACTTGCTTTGCTCTATCAAATGGTACCTTGAAACCTATTTAAAATTGAGAAGTTTTGTGACTTATTGCGACTGAAAGTTAATTCGGGTGGGATCAGGACATGCGTAGCAAAGGTGCTATGAGTGTTTCTTGACGCACAACATTCAGTCAACTGTAGCTCTTCTTTTCAAGGAAGACACCTGTTATTACAGACTACATGAGAACACCTATTGCTGCAAAGGTACGAAATTCGGCTGCAGTCGCTGTTCTTACCGAGTTACATCCATTTGAATTGTATCAATGATAATTCTGCTTCGACATCAAGTATTTCTCTGAATTCTGATTACTCATTTTTTATCTACTATTTATTTATTAATTTGTTTACGCGAAGTCCATGAAATCCACATATTGCCTCCCTACATATTGTTCTTTTATATCGCTTAGTAATCCGTCATTAGTGCATATCTTTTCGCTTTTTGATTCCTAATTGAAGATTTTGATTGTACTGTGTCATTTCTTTTTTTAAGACAGAACCTTGTTGTCTTCATCTCCTTTTAGCATCTCGTAAAGGCATATGAAAGAGACTGGCTTATCAAAGCAGAAACCAAGTAATCTCAGAAAGAAGCTTGAAGTGGAAGAAACGGGCGGATCAGGAATTAAAAGCAAAAACCGCAAAGCGCTGCGAAACCCCAAACAAAGTGGTGCGGAAGTTTCGTTTTTTTTAGCATTCCCGCAGCATTCATTGCAGCCGTTCCGCAGCACTTTCGCAGGGTTTCTGCAGGTGACCCGGTGGAAATGCTGCAAAAACCTTGCGGTTCCGGTCAGTTGTCTGAGTAGTGTTCTATGTAAACAATGAATTCCGTTTTTAGGAAGGTGTATCAACCAGAGATTTCTATGAAACATCGTGCTATTCTTCGTGATGTCTCGAGAACATCGTTATTCAAAATTTCTAGAGCCTCAGTAAAAACGTTAAGTAAAATATCGCCATTGACAATGTGTTTTACCAGTTTGCGTACTTCAAGTGTGCTGTGCAATTAGGTTGTCCCAAAAGTTTCGTCGATTTTTTGCTCGGTCACCAAAAGTCGAGCAGTGATGATGAACGACTGTATCGTTAATTTCGGATTTTGTACTTTTTCTGATGGCTCATTTCTTTGATTTTGTGCAAACTTTACGATGTCATTGTCATAGCTCTTTGAGCATAGCGTGACGCCAAATTTTCTCAAAATTCAAAATTTTTCCCATAATCTCTTAACAAGCACTAGTAAGGTCATGTAAAGCAAGCATCTGGCTACATTCACTCGTTTTGGATTACATAAAGGGCATCCCAAGAGCGTCCAAGCAAAAGCGGCTCAGGTTGTTGCGGCCGACTCGCGCGAGCCTTCCGCCGCGTTGAGCGTCTGGTCATTTTGCCAGGTCTTGACCGATGCAACGCTTGATTTCCTCACGTTTTCTCTCCATTTTCACCTTTTTGGTATTTTAACGCTTTGATTTTTATCTCACAGATTCATTTGAGATATAGTCCTAGCTCTGTCTAAATCAGCAGTTTCTCTTCGGCATGGGCCGAATGGAGTTACAGACATAAGCTGCAGAACTGCAGTCATTCCGAGAAAAAAACTGTTTTTGTTCGTAACAGTTTTGCTATCCTTGTCAACTACGGAAACAAGAAATGATCTGAAACCATTGAAATCAAGAAAGTGTGATATGATTCAAGCGATTGACTGTAAGTTCGGCAGATCATGGCATCGACGGATAGAGCCGATCCTATACGGACAATCTATAGAATGAAACTTGAGAAGCAGAAATTTAAAAAAAGGCGGGGGAAAACAGTTTAGAGATACGAGCACTCAGCAAAAGTACAAAACTAGATTGATAAAGCAAGCAACTACTGCAAATGTGGCAATTCAATACAACTAAGAAATGTGCAATGAGGAGGCAAAATGATTATGTCCAAAAAATAGGAGCCCTCCCCTCATCTTCAAAAATCAAAGAAAATGAGTGAGAAGACGGCAAAAACACAGCGGCGCACGAATCCAAGCCTAGCAAAATGGGGAACGCAACTTAGGAACCCAAGCCTGATTAGCCCGATTCGGGGAGTGCCTGCAGGATACAGCCATGCTCGCTATCTCCGATCGCTCCCTAGGGCATAACGACAATCTAGGCTCCGCCCCCTGAGAACCTGTTTTGGAACCTGGCCAAGGGATCCTGAAAATCCCAATCGAACTTCAGGTCACTGAAACTGGCTTTTATCCAAAAACCTTTCAAAATGGTCGTAGGAAGGTGAAATTAGGATCAAACGAAAGAGAAAAACCTTGCCGTTATTATAACGTACCATATGATTGAGGCTGATGGAATACAACATTTTTTTTGCCATAATTTTATTCAAGAGCCAAATTTAGATAAAACACTGGGAAACTGTTCAAGAAATTTTGGATTTTATGGCACGGTTTTGGATTTTTTAACGTACTTGCTTAAATATTCCGAACCTAAAGTAATTTCCATTTCCCAATCTTATCTCTGCGTCGCGAACTTAGTAGATAGCAGCCAAAACAGTTTTAGAAAGTGCATATGCTCTTTCCAATAAGTTTTTAATCGTGCAAAAACATTGTGCTAGGAAGAATTTATGATTATTTGAAAATAGTGGGACAGAACTTTCGGACCAACCTAATCTCCGAATCTAAGAAAAGGAATTGTGGAATGGCCAGCTTCTTATTCCCTAGAATTTGGGGAATACGACAGGCTCCTGTTACTTGGGAGATACATGCTCAAAGAAATTCTGTGAAACCACCCCAAAACTAAATTTCTATAATCTTGATTGACTTTAAATTCGCAATTTATTACATTATTACAAAGAACAAACTCGCATATTCTTTCAACTTTGACAAACACTTTAAGAATTTCCGCCAACTACTTTCCTCTCTCTCTCTCATAGATTTATAAATCTTGGACCATTCTAGAAGGAGCCGCCATTATCCCCTCTCTTTCTCCTTCAGTCTGCCGCAGCTGAAAAGTTTTTACAAAACGGGAAGAATTGAAGTTCCTATGCCGGTTTTCAAAAGAGCATTTCTTTATTTCTTTTAGTACCAACTTACCAAGTTTCGTTGGCCATCAACGCAAGGAAAATAGACATAAATTAGAGCTTTGTGCTTCATATTGTTCCTTCCCTGAGTTCTTTTCCAGCTTTCCAGCAGCTTCTCGATGACTGTCCATATAGTGCAACGATGCCTGAAAGATCATTAATTAGAATATGGTGAAGTACCAGTTGATTACGGCAGCATTGGAGAAACAGAAGGAAAAAGAGAAAGAAAATAAGAGAAACAGAAAACCGTACGGAAGACAAGCAGCGATGATGCGTTTGCTATTTCGAAATCGCAAGTGCATGCGCTCTCGAAGTCCTGCGGAGATGCTGACAGGTCAAAGTGCTGCGGAAAAGCTACGATTTTACAGCATTTCCGCTGTGCTTTGACTACTACAGCCAATCATAGCCAAGATTTGACAGGTCAAAAAATTTAGTTTCTTCTAACCAATGTCCGCGATGTGTAGTGATTACGGTGAGCTCTTCTGCATAAAAGTTCCTCAGTCGCTAATTAATTTGAGATGTTTTCATGGTTGGAATCAGTCGACATCCTCCTCTGATCTCCGCCAATTCACTTAGTCTATACACGTACGCTCATCTCGGGTCAAGCAAGAGGTGTGGCACACGATCGCTGGTTACGACCCCCCCCCCTCTTATTGCTGTCTCAATAAGACCCCTGAACTATATACCTAAGATAGCATTACTTAAAGGTCCTGTCAAACACAACGGGAAATATATCCATATAGCTTGTCAATTAACCCTGCAGACAATGTTTGAGCGAATTATGAAGTTTCAAGATACTGGGTCACCTAAGTGAAATCGCCATTTTCCAGCATGATTAACTTGTTTCAAAGATAAAATAGCTAGCTGTTTTTGCACTAAAGACAAAGCACTACTCCTTCTTTGGCCACTTTAGAAATCTCTCTTCAAAAGACCTCCTAACTTTGAGATTAGAAGCCAACCAAAATCTTGTTTTTCGTATTTTTCGCTTTTAATGGCTGTGCTTTCACCAAATATTACCCAGAGCTAAGAAGACGAATCAGGCTCAAATCACTTCTATGAAATCTACGAGTTCTAGGCCATCGATTCATGTAAATAGTGTCGCTAAAAAACTTTTTTTGATATAGTTAATGGGGTGTGGCACCACCCCTGCCACAGCTTTTTAGGGGGGTGCCACACCCCAATAACTTACCTTCAAACAGACAAAATAGCTGCGTCTTTTATATCGTTGTTACTGCTTAACCTTCTTCTTTACGTAGCAGAAATTTCATATGAGAACGCTTCTTCAAAAGCAAGATATAATCGTTTTTCCTTACCTACGCAAATGTAAAATACTGGTAAATACGGTAACATGCTAAGTCTGCGCTACTACGTGAATCGCAAGGGAAGGCGTCAAAATGTATGAATTCGATAGCCTACTCGTAATCCTCATAAAAGTTATTTGAGCCTCATTGGTCTTCTCTAGCCTAAGATATAGAAAACGAAAAATGGAACAAACAAGATTTTGGCTTGCTCTTAATTCCTCAATTTGGAGGTCATTTAAAGTAGGATTCCTAGTGTGAGCAAAGAAATAGTAATTCTTTGTATTAAGCGCAAAAAGAAGTAGTTCACTTACCTTTGAAACAAAGTAACACGTTTGAAAACGACCATCTCACTTAAGTGGTCCTGTATTTGGAAACCTCAGAATTCGCTGAAACTTGGGCCGCAGGGATTATTTTACTTGCTAATTACAAAACAAAGCTCTTATGCTTTATAGATCTTTAATTATGCTTACTGTACTTTTACGATAATGGGTCAAACATCAATGTGCTAGTATTTTGCACGACGGGCCTATTTGACGTTCTTAACGAATAGCATGTTATGCGAACAGCGGACGCCCTGACAACGACTCCCACCCTGATTCCTTGATACGACCCCGCCCCCCCCCCCCCCCACTCAAACTTCTCCGAGGGCAGGCGGGCACCGGAAAATGCGCGTTGCTGACATCTCGCATTCACTCGCAAATTCCAGGAAAATAGCGAGTTTTTGAGAGACCGCCTGTTAAATCTGTTTTCGCTCTAATCTTTTGCAGATATATTGCTGAATCTCTGAGGAATCGAGGATTTAGCAAGCGGCGTTCCGAAAAGTCCTGATTGCTTTCTAAAAAATCCGCGAGCGGAATGCGAGAAATCAGCTATCTATTTTTCCGATGCCCACCTGCCCCTGGCGATTGTCTGAGCAGGTGTAGCATAATCTCACGCCCTGCTCATCTCTCATGCAAGTCACGTCAAGCTTCCTATTCTGGTTGAGCTTTTAAAGAGGAAGAATTTCAGCGCATAAGATATCACTTGCACTATCACTACTTGCAAAAAATTTTTCTCAATGTACGATTTATGCAGGGCTCACTGGCATGTCTTTCAGTGCAGTGGCCTCCAATGAGTGAAAAAAGGGTTTTCGATCGCATTGCCACTTTTGACCTTGTTTCGACCTTATCCCAATCAAGGGAGTCTATACGTTTGTTGTGATGTAGTAAATGAACTTCAGAAAGTATTAGTGGTATTCCTAATTGTTTTTTTCGATTTATCAAACGTTTCTAGGAACATTCATGCTTTGGTGGGGTTGGCTCGCGTTCAACACCGGCTCAACGTACGGCGTCAGCCACGGAAAGTGGTATTTTGCAGCCAAGTAATCCTTCTTGTCAAAGCATTTGCATCCTCTCCTTTAAGCTAGCTCACTTCAGATCAGCTGTTGGTACGATCATGGCGTCGACTGGTGGCGGTGTCACATCACTAATTATTTCTAAATTTGTCACCAAAAGGATAGAAATTGATATGCTTATTGATGGAATGCTTGCTTCACTAGTATCTAGCTCAGGTTAATATAACTAAAAAAACAATACAGCTTTAAGTATACAAAAATCTTTGATGCCGATGAAAAATTTTTCAGCTTGCTGTTCTTGTTTCACGCCGTGGCAAGCATATACTGTGGGCTCGTTTGGGGCTGCTTTTGCCCTACTGTCTTATCCACTGTTGGAATGGGTGGAGGTGAGAAGCTACGGTTCGCAACAGTGGTTTTTTCTTCTATGCTTTTTCCGGCTTTTCCCAGTTCTACCCACCTGCCCATAATCAAAAAAGCTCAGGGCGCCTTCTATCGGACAAAAACGAGACGTGTGGGATGCCACACCACGGAGACTTCCGCTCTGCACCTACCGCCTGGACATTTTTCCACAAACGCTGATCTTCACGCTCTCTTCGATGCTGCAGAGCAGTTGAAATACCATCATCACTCTACACGAGACAGCCAGGAAGAAGGACGTGCGAAAGACGAGTGATGGACCCTCATCATTCGTGGTGAGAGAGTTCCAGCAGGAAACTCTGGACGCGTTGCTTTGCTCTCCACCCATCTATCATTCATCTTGTAAATTCGCATGAGATTCTACCACCTGGAATGCCTTCCTACGTCTAATAACCTCCAACATCAGCAGAAGACCATCAACATCATTAACTGCTCTTCCCAAGATCAGCAGCTGATACAAGAAAACTCGCTTCCCACGAAGACGTGGAGGAAGTCGACCGCAAGAGAATTCATCCTACAAATTTGTTGTAGGCATTGCAAAAACTGGTATACTTCATGAGGAACGAACAACGTCGGTGGAATTGAGAATAGCTCAACGGTATCACACGCAGGGATCGATCACATCCTCACCAATCGAAGGTGGAGCTTGCTTGATGTTTCAATAGTTCCATCATATGCAGTTCGAGCGAAAGTACTATTCAGTCGAAAGCTAAAAAAATGACCTGCCATAGCGTCGGAAGCCAAGAGATCGTTTGTTACGACAAAATGCTTGAGGACCTCATATCAAGTTGTGACTGGCCCATCGAGTCAGACCTAACGAGGATGTGACTAGCTTCTGAAAGGATTGTGAGCATTTGCGCTTCAGTGACTCCAGAGTCGGAAGCATCTCGAAAACCACCAAAGAGTTGCTTGAGAGGAGAAAACTTTTGGAGCAGGAGGATCTTCGAAGGTACTGCAAGCCAAGCTACGGGAAGCAGCCGGATGAAGAGGAGATCTCAAAAGCAGTGACTCGGCTAATCTGAGTCAGATTAATTTTTGACTTAGAGAATTTAGAGGATTCGCTATTTAGGCCATTACCCAAGTCTTTTTCAAGAAGACCTCCTCTATGTCGAGAAAACTGCAAAGTGGTGCGCGCAGAGCCATTCTACACGCACCTGGACGAGTTGCCGGTTCCCCCTTCTTGAGTTGCCGGTTCCCCCTTCTCGAGTTGCCGGTTCCCTCTTCTCGAGTTGCCGGTTCCCCCTTCTCGTCTTAGCACCTCTTACCAAACATTCTTCTCCTTCTTGACGTGTTTGAACCCGCGGCCAAAGTTATTGTAGAGGATACAGCTCGTTCGCATTGTTTATACGGGATCTTTGGGAAACGGGATTTATTTTTCATGCGGATAAACCTATTTGGAGTCTCATGGGATCGAAAAGCCTTGCGATTCACGAACATCCAAAGATTCAAATGTTGGTGACGCATGCCTACAAGCAGAAGAGACCTTCGCAAATATCATGTATCGTTCATTCGTTGACCGTACGGACTGCCGACCGCGTGGCGACTGCGACGCGTGCCTTCTAAACTTGCGAAAAAGTGACAAGTTGGACCGTGGCTTAAGATGAGAAGAATTCTTTGTTTCTTTTCTACATTATAAAGGTGAGAAGAATCCTCTGTTTTCTTTCTATTCATCTTTTCTACGAAAACATCATGCACGCGCAGCGGTCGCCGCGCGGTCAGCAGTCGTTACGGTCAACGAATAAACGATACTGCTGGCAGCGCTATTGAACGAGGGCGGGTCTCTGTTCTTCTCGACGTGAGATGAAATTTATTGCGAAGCGGTTCTACACTAATTTATCAACAATCGTGGCGAAGCTCGTTGTCTCCCCACTGGAGAAGTTCCACAACAGAACCTGGCGAAACACGCACTGCCATCCAGGTCATGGAGACATTCATGGTCCAAAGATCTGGTCATTTTCCGTCGGATCAAGTTTTAGAGAGCCGGAGGACAACATCTACTCGAGATTCTCGGGTCGCATCTAACGTCTTACCTGAATTTCACGATAGAAGGATATTCGACTACTCAGGAACTACCGTTCAGTATGCTTGCTGAGTAAGCTGTACGGGCTCTACATGAAGATCATTCTCAGCATACTAAGGATACCGAAACTATTGAAACTCAACACCGGAAACAGACCGATTTTGCAAGAGATTCAGCTGCATGGACCACATCCAGACGGTTTCGAGGGTTATAGAAGTTTGCCGCGGGTACCGCTTGCCTTTCGCCCTGATCTTCGTTGAGTGCGAAAAAAGCCTTTGACAGCATGCCATTTTGTCTGCTATAGTGGATCAAGGACTGGATCCAGCTTATGTCAGGACAGCCTGCTACAAGGACTCTGCAACGACGTTGCAGCTATTCCATCGCCCTCTAATCATTCCACTTGGGAAAGGGCCCGACAGGCGACACGATTTTGCCGAAGCTGTTCAATGCGGCCTTGCAATGTGATGAACTTACTGGACTGGAACAAGAGAGAAAGAGTTGGTGAAAAATTCTTTCCAAGGCTTCGTTTTGTGGGCGGCCTCGTTCTTTCCTCAAGGAGTACCTTTGAACCGAAGACGATGCTGAAGGACTAAGCGAAGTAGAAAAGAAGAACGAGGTGCGAATAAATTAGGAGAAGACCGTAGGGAACGCCTTGCGAAGATGTGAAAGTGGAATTGGAAGGTACCTCATCATGGAGATGTATTCCTTGTATACTGGATGTAAAACAGATATGGACGTTCGTTGGGAATTTAACAAGAGAAGAAAAGCAGTATGGACGCCGCGGAGCTTCGCGCCTTACGCAGCTGAAACCAGGACCAATACTGCAGGTATCGGCCCAGATCGAAAGCCCTACGGGCCGTTTACAGAGCGCCTCCTGAAGATTAGAAGGGCAACATCTCGTTGAACTTCACAGTACGGATATAAGAAGAAGAGAACGTCCCGTTTTTGAGCGAGCAGAATACGCTCAAAAGCGAAGCATCGATGTTCCGCTGATATCATGAGAAGAACAGTTGGCACATAGACATTAAGACCAATAAAGTGATATTCTTGCAAAGCGAAACATCCCTGAGGAAGAACGCCAACGAGATGGGCAAGCGTGTCCGCGAAACAAATAAACCGGCTGAGCGGTCGGGAACGAATCTCGCAAGAAAATGATGGAGGTCTGAAGTGATGGAATGATGAAAACTCCTGTGCTGAGGTTCGCAGTCACATGAAGCCGGACCATCCAATTATTATAGTATACGTAAGCGAATAAGCAAGTGAGTAACTGAATAAGTAAATACGCGCTATGCTGAATCCGAAAATTTATAGGAATGCGAAGAGGCCAAGAGTTTTATTTTTCCAAAGCTATGCTTCTTGAGTCTGGCGAGTGAAACACTATCCGCCGAGGCTAAGACACTGAGTCGCTTTGGAACCCTACGACATCAACTGTGGCGATATGCGTGCTTTAACGCAGAGCAAGAAATCCACAGTTGAGCGATTTCTTCCTCTGGAGCGTAAGTCCTTCAACTTTTCGAGCGAATTCTCCCTTCTTGAGCAACGTTATGATTTTGCACTTGCGCAATCGTGTCCGAGGGCGCCCTCTTTTACATAGCAATGAAAATGCTTCTGGGAGCGGCTCGGTAATGAACTTGGAGATTCGATGTGGTGACTTGCTCACCCAGCAATGAAAACGAAGCAAGTTCACTCCGCCTATTCCGCCTACGGTAAAAACTTGGAGTGGCGTCCGGGCACTATGACGATAATAAGAAAAACGCGCACATCCTGATAAAGTTCATGCCCAATAAGCATCGCACTCTTGAAGCGAGAAAACCGCTTCAGAATCTACGACATGGCCAACTCTCATGGGCGGCGCCAACGTCCTCAACCTCGAATCGATTTCATACATTAGCCAGAATGTGCATACGCACACAGTCAAGACATAGAGTTCCACAAGACTGCTTCACCGTGACGATAGACGTCCAAATTCAAAACCAAGGGCTCCTGAGATAGCCTGTATTTTAAATTTCCGTGCTTTCAAGCTTGCGGCTTCGGAATCAGCACTAAGGATAAGTTCAAGTATCCTCAATCGAGATATTGTCCGAACCCTTTCAGAGGTCCGCAAACCAGTTTCCTTTCGTCCTCAGATGAGTTCACAATTTCCCTTCCACCGAAAGCGCATGCCGCATTGTTTAGACCCTGAGAGTCCCGTAACGAATCTGTATTCTATCCGTGGCGAGAACTTTCATCCTCGTCCAAAGCTTGTTTTGCCATTTTCGCGCTCTCAAAAGGTGTAAGTTTGAGATCAGTGCATGAAATAACCTTAGTAAGCGAGTAGCTCGAGTATTTGCGGAGCCACTGTTGACGAGAATAGAAGATTGGCCGTTGGGGATGACCAGGGGACCATGGGACCATGCAAGAAAAAGGCTTGTACGGTAGTACTTTTCGTCCAACATGTTCATAGCGAGGGTTATCGAACAACAGCGTGTACACATTTGAAATTAATACGAAGCTTTTTTGATGCTATGGGGAATGTTCATATATGCAGCTCAAAATAACATGGTTTTCAGCAAAGTATGCAAAGAAAATTTTTAGGTTGATGATCCTGTTGGTATAATTCCTGTGCACGTGATAGGATCTATATGGGGTATGATTAGTGCTGGTATCTTCGCAAGAGACGACCCCTTAAATGCGAGTCATTTTTTTTACAAAAAAAGCCTATAAGCAAATTCAAGTCTTTTTTTAGTGGAAGTTAACACGCAGACAAGATGGCCTTCTCTCTGGAGGTGGTTTTAAACTCATTGGAAAACAGCTCCTAGGTGTAGTCATTGTATCGCTGTGGTCGGCAGTTATTGGATTTATGACTCTTTTCGTGAGTGTAAAAGATTGAATAGACCTTATCTACATGCTTACTCTTCTTAGTGCCTTCAACACTCTCGAATAGGGCTTCGGCTCACAAGACTCGAAGAGGAAATTGGTGCAGATTTAAGAGAACATGGACTGAGCGGACATTGTGTACGAGCTTATGAACTTGAAAAAAAGCTAACACCAGAGTGGGTTTTCACAGCTCTTCTACAGTAATTAAACCGCTTCGAACTAAGCATCATCTACAACGATCCCGATGACATATGACAATTGCTGTGGATGTTACAGGACTGCTGCTAAGATGCTGTTGTTGATGGTACGTTGGAAGGTAAGGGCAAGAAGAGCCGCACAAAGGAGACGGGCGAGAGAAAGTGTCGCGTTGGATACAATGAATAGTGACGGTCTTATAATACCTGACTGATAACTCACTTCGTTACCTAAGTTTGATGATTTGACAAATTCGATGATTCTCAGTTGGCTTTTCAGTAACTAATTTGTCTTGCTGCTTTCGTCAAAAGATAACACATTTTGAAAGATTCATCAGAGTTGCTACTAGATGCTTGAATTCACCGCAAACTAACAACCCTTATCATATTTCCTTTCATCGACAATTTCTTGACACTCATCATATGAATGATTCATTTCTAAACATTGTTTGTTATTTTCTTAGCCTTGGCTGTATGCTACGAGCAGTTTTCAACGTACTAAAAATCTGACCTATAACTTTGTGAAAAAGCCCAGATTGTGAACGTGAACCTATGTGGAACTGGATGGGATACCTGTCTTCGCTCGGATATATCATGATGCTTACTATCCCGCATTACTTTACAACTCCGTGTCCCCTTCCCTGGTGGCATTTTCCGTCTGCTTAGAAGTTTAGACCTCTATTCAAGGCAAACCCAGCTCCGCCCGGCTCTGGCAATAACATTTTCCTAGTCAACGTGCTGACTTACTCCCCCCCCCCCTTCTCAGACAATCGCCGGGGTCAGGCGGCCATGCGATTTGTGGGCAGGTGGGCACCGGAAGGTAGTTCGCTGATTTCTTGCGGTCCGCTTGCAGATATCTGGAAGAATTTTGGCGAAATCATACGAATGCTCACAGAACGATTGCGGCTTTTTCATAAATTAGTTGCGGCGCAGTGGCCGCATTCTCGCGGACTTGTCGCGAAAATATGCAAAATTATTGAGGACGGCGCGGTTCTTTGTGAAAGACCGCACAGCCCGTAGGTACCTTCCGCTGAGAGAAAGTACCTCAAACTCGGGTAATCAAACCAAAGATGACATTTCTGCCATATAGAGTGTTACCTCTGCTCGGTGCAAGCCCAAAACTGCGTTACAGAGTCCGAGCGCCTGCTGAAAATTTGGCCAGCGCTCGCTGAAAGGAATTCTTGGACGAGTGCCTGCAGAAAATGCAGCATTGCTGCCCGCTGGCAGAACATGCGACCGTAAAGGAAGTATCGCTCGCTGAAGTTTTGGCCACGCTCCAAAATTCTGCAGACCGCCTGCGGAAAAGCGCGAGTTTGCGGTCCGCCTGCCCCGGCAAGTCTGAGAAAGCCACATGACAATCAAGCAATGCCTCACACGAGCGAATCTCGAGGATGTGCGCGATCTATCACGGAAAAAAGATTGCACAAAGTGTTTTGTCGTTTCGACATCCATTGTTTGAAATGCTCCGCCAATTATATTGGTGAGACCGGCCGACCATTGAGCGTAACTGGCAGAAGATAACAAAGCATGATGAGCGCACTAGGTAAACACAGAAAGGTAGAGCACGAAGGAACGGATTACGATATAAGGTGCACAATACTAGCCTATGAAAGTCAAATAGCTGCGCGAAAGGCTTTGGAAGCATCTTTCATTCTTACGCGTGATTCAAATTAAGCAGCAAGAATTAACAGTTATCCATTACCACTGATCTCATGCCGTATCTTCCGTTTTGCGAGCTATAGATTGTCTGAGCCCCCACAATGGTCGGTCGCCTCATCGTGGCGTGGGGGTGACACTGGGTGTCGAACTGCGATGCACAGCCGAGTGTATACTCTGGTAGGCTCCCAAGCTGTGAAGGAATTCGACGTTTCCGGTTTCGGCCGGATGCCTAGCTAAGAACCGGCCACGCCAGATCCCCCGCCGTCTGGCTTCTTCTGGTCGAAGGCGGTCCCTCCCCGCTCCAAGACAGGAGTCAGCGATCGCCCCGTGGAAATCAAGAGTAGGCCTAGTAAGCCACCTCTTGTAGGGGAAAATTCATATTACTCCTCCAGTTAGAAGATTAGAAAGAAACCGTGCACATCGTATCCCGCCTACGGCGCCGGGTGGTAGCAAGAACGATGTCAGGGTACTCAGGGCGCCTTTCGGATTGGACAAAAACGACAAGTCTGCCCGGACGACACGCCATGGAGACTGCCTCATGCTCTGCACCTACAACGCCAGGACAGTCTCCACAAACGCCAACCTCCACGCTCTTCTCGACGCTGCAGAGCACATCAACTACCACATCATCGCTCTGCAGGAAACGAAGTCCAGGAAGAAGGACGTACGAGAGATGAGTGAAGGGACCCTCATCATTCGTGGTGAAAAGCTTCCATCACGAAGCGTGGGAGGCGTCGGCTTTGTCGTCCATCCATCTATCGTCCATCTTGTCGATTCGCACGAGATCCTATCACCTCGACTAGGCATCCTACGACTACGCCCTCCACGTCAGAAGACCATCAGCATCATCAACTGCTACTCGCCAACATCAGCAGCTGACGACTCAGAACTAGATGCTTTCTACGAAGACGTGGAGGAGGTCGTCCGCAACGAAAAGTCCTTCTACAAGTATGTTGTGGGCGACTTCAATGCGAAAATCGGGATGCCACTAGAAAAGGAATATAGGATCGGGAAGTTTGGATATGGGCTCCGAAACGAAAACAGCAACCGTCTTGTTGGGCTCCTCTCCGCCGCACGACTCTTCCATGGAAACTCCATCTTCTTGAAGAAAGAACATCGCCGGTGGGCTTGGGAATCGCCCAACGGAACGACTCATGCTGAGATCGACCACATTCTCACCAACCGAAGGTGGAACTTACTCGATGTCTCTGTAGTTCCATCCTTCTGTAGTGGCTCCGATCACCTCCTCCTTCGAGCGAAGATACGACTCAGCCGAAGGCTGGAAAAGAAAGTCTGTCATAGTGCCGCGAGAAGGAAGGAAGTCGTTTATGACGGTAACAGGCTGGAAGAGCTCATATCAAGTTGTGACTGGTCCATCGAGGAGAACCCAACGTATGACTACGACCGGCTTCTGAAAGGATTGCGAGCCTGCGGAGAATGCGCCTCAGTGACTTCTGAGAAGAACTTGGACCGCATCTCGAAGACCACCAAGGAATTGCTCGAAAGAAGAAGATCACTAAGGCAGGATCCGAATGCAACTCATCTCGAGCGACTGATAGCCAACGCCAGTTGCAGAACAGCTTTGCAAGAGGATCTCAGGAAGTACAGGCAAGCCAAGATACTGGAAGCAGCCGAAAGAAGACGAAGTCTCAAGAAGTGCCGAAGGGACCTCTGCGAATATCACGTACCGCTGGCTGCACTACTGAACGAAGACGGGACTCCGACTTCTTCCCGATACAAGATGGAATCTACCGCGAAGAACTTTTACACCAACCTCTTCCGCTCATCAACACCCGTGCAGATGCCTGTTGTTCCCACTGGAGAAGTACCACCACGAATTCTACCTGCTGAAGTGCGTATCGCGATACAGACCATGAAGACGTCCACGGCTCCAGGACTAGATCATCTTTCCGTCGAACTTCTGCGAGCCGGAGGACACCGTCTACACGAGATTCTAGCGTCGCATTTGACATCTTACCTTCAGAAGGAGAAGATTCCCGACCGGTGGAGGACGTCAAGAACCGTCCTTCTCTTCAAGAAGGGTGAACGGGAGGATCTTCGGAACTATCGTCCAATATGCTTGCTGAGTGTGCTGTACAAGCTTTTCACGAAGATTATCCTCGCTCGCATATCAAGGACACTGGATGAAGCCCAACCCAAGAACAAGCTGGATTTCGCAAAGGATTCAGCTGCATGGACCACATCCAGACCGTTTCGAGGGTCCTAGAAGTCTGCCGGGAGTACCGAATGCCTCTCGTCCTAACCTTTGTCAACTACGAGAAAGCCTTTGACAGCGTCGAAACCAACGCCATCCTGTCTGCGCTAGTCGATCAAGGAGTGGACCCAGCTTACGTGAGGACGTTAGCCGACTGCTACAAGGACTGTACAACGACGATGCAGCTATTTTATCGCCCCCTGACTATACCAATCGGGAAGGGGGTCCGACAAGGCGAGACAATCTCGCCGAAGCTGTTCACCGCGGCCTTGCAGTGGGTGATGAAGTCACTGGACTGGGACGAGAGAGGCATACAAGTTGATGGGAGATTCCTGCCCAACCTTCGTTTTGCGGACGACATCGTTCTCTTCTCGAGCAGTATCACCGAAGCAGAGACGATGCTGAAGGAACTAAACGAAGTAGGGAAGAAGATCGGACTGCGAATAAATCGGAAGAAGACTCAGTTCATGAAGAACGCCCTTTGCGAAGATGCAGAAATGGAATTGGAAGACACCCCGAATATGGAGACGTCTTCCTACGTGTATCTCGGACATGGAGAACAATGATGAACATGGAGAACGACTTGAGGGAAGAACTTAACAGGAGAAGAAGAGCAGCCTGGGCCGCCTTCGGGCCTCTGAAGGAAGCCACCGACCAACTGACGGACCCGGAGCTTCGTGCCCACCTGTTCGACTCAACCGTTCTCCCGGCGCTCTGTTACGCAGCTGAGACTTGGGCCGACACTGTAGCCACGTCGAAAGGTTTACGGACCACCCACAGAACGCTCGAGCGCAGTCTTCTGAAGATGACCCGACGCAAGCAACATCTAGTCGGACTTCGCAGCACGGATATGAGAAGAATGTCCCGTCTTCGTGACCCAGCGGAATACGTCGCGAAAGCCAAACACCGATGGGCCGGTCACATAATTAGAAGAACAGACGACAGATGGACACTAAGAACATCTGAGTGGATTCCTCGCGAAGCCAAACGTCCTCGAGGAAGACCACCGACGAGATGGGCAGACGTGTTCGTGGAACGGATGGACCAGCTGAGAAATCAGCTGGATACGACTTTCGCCCCTGGAACTCGTGGACGCAGCCACCGACGACGGCCAAGAAGATCGTGGATGTCTGAAGCGAGGGACAGGGAAAAATGGCGACTTCTGTACTGGGGCCCGCACGTCACGTGAGGACGGGCCATCTAAGTATCTAAGTCTAAGTAAGTAAGATTGTCTGAGCGTATATAAGCAGTTATGTGACATGTACTCACTGCTCACTCTTGTGTTACAACAGTGGAACGAGCTCGCCTAAAGCAGTTGCACACTGCAATATCGGTAATACACTGGTAAGTATAAGTCGTAATCCGACGTCCTTCTTCCACACTAGATGAATCGAATATGCAAGAAGAGGTGTTTGGCGGTCAAGAGCGGACATCGTTGTGACTGACACTTTTCAGGCCTCTGACGGCGTGTAGCCGAAACGTAAGGCAATAAAGTGCATCACTATAAAAAAACCTGTACGGCACAGAACAAATGAAGTACTCTTGCCTTTTATAGGTAAATCTGTCGCTT